TGAAAAAATATCGAAAATTAGCGATTTTTAAATTTGTAATTTTTTGGGGGATTTCCCCCGTTTACGGGGAACGAGGGAATTTTTTTCAATTTTTGAGGGTAATGTCTTCGACTAGATACGATTTGTGATCTTTTGACATATTGTTCATCAAAATCGGTCCAGCGAGAGCTGAGATTGAGCGTTCACAGACACAAAAAAAAAAAAAATAAAAAAAATAAAAAAATTAAAAAAACACATCATAGTAAAATTAATACCTTCTCAGCTTCGCATCGAAGCTAAAATAAACAAAAAAACACATCATAGTAAAATTAATACCTTCTCAGCTTCGCATCGAAGCTAAAACTCAAGTTAATGTTTTTTAACCTGAAGGGATGAAAAATATCATGCTTTTACTACATATTATTGTAATATTTTTTGAATTAAACAATATTTTCCTTACCAAAAATTAAAAATTTTCAATAGTTACTGAGTAAACGAGTGTCTTATCCTTTATGAATCACTCTGTATATATATATAAACAAATTTTTATTGTTTATTATTAGATATAAACATTTAAAAGTTTAATTTTTTTTGAGTTAATATATATACATGTATAATATATAAGGAATTACAATTACAGGTAGCTAATTGGTTTTTTATGACAATATTCATAAAATAAGGTATACGTATAGCCTTTATGGTCAATAGTAATAAGACACATTGTTGAGAGTTTATAAACACATTAACTGGCAATACAGAAATTAGATATTGATAGTTATAATTGACAATAAACACTCAGTGACTGTAACAGCAATGTCATAAAAAACAAAAAAGTAAAAAATAAATATAGTTTAAAAAAACTGAAAAACACGCTTTTAAAGCATATCAAACTAAAAAGTTAAAAATAATTTTAGCAACGATAAAAAATCTTAAACAATTTTTTTTTAGCTTCGATGCAAAGCTGAGAAGGTATTAATTTTACTATGATGTGTTTTTTTTTTGTGTCTGTTAACACATATTCTTAGTTCTTATCGAACCAATTTCTTTCAATGATACGTCAAAAAATGACAAATTGTATCTGGTCGATGATATTAACCTCAAAAATTGAAAAAAAATCCCTTGTTCCTCGTAAATTTGGGAAATATTCAAAAAAAATTACAATTTTAAAAAACGCTTACTTTTAACATTTTTTCAATTTTCTTATTTAAAACTGCCATAACTTTTTTAAAATTGACAAAATCAATATCAATTTTTTTTTTTATAGATTCATAAGATATTTACCTATCATTTTGTATGTTTTTTTTTTAAATTTAACGCTTTATTTGCCCACAAGGGAGCATTCAAAATGATAACTTTTCCACAAAAAATAATATTTTTACAAGAAATTTAAAAAAATTATGTGTACTTATACTTTTTTTTTAATTTAAAAAAAGATGCAGCAACAAAGACTTGGATTTATTTACATTATATTATATTATATATTTAATACATATATTTATATCACATATTATATATATATATAAATTATTTATTTATGAAATGTGTATAGAGCGTTAATGAGAAAAGGAGTCCTGAAAAGGTACATTAATATGTATTTCTATATGATAACTTGTACCAGGGTAAAAAGTGTAGGAGAAGGAACAAAAGGTTTTAGGGTAAAAGTAGGAGTGCACCAAGGTTCTGCTTTAAGCCCTTACATATTTTCTATAGTGTATGTTGTTTGATGATGATATAGTGTTAATAGGAACAAATAGGGATGAAATTAATCAAAGGCTAGAGGTGTGGAGATCAACTCTTGAAGATAATAATAGGTAGGAGTAAGACGAAGTAGATAGAGTATGAGTTTAACAAATAAGAACACGAGATAGGTAAAGTGAGGAGGTCAGTGACAATAGGCGAGGATGTGATAGGAAAGGTGGAAAGTTTTAAGTATTTAGGATAAGTGGTGGAAAAAAGCTGGGGTATTGATGAGGATGTAAGACACAGGATTATGTGTTGGTGGTTAAAGTGGAGAGAAGTGTCTGGCGTCTTATGCAATAAAAAAATTCCAATGATGCTGAAAGGTAAATTCTATAAGACTTTAGTAAAACCAGCTATGATGTATGGGTCAGAGTGTTGGGCAGTTGACAAGAAAGTGAAAATGTTTAGATGAATGAGTGGAGTGACTAGAGAAGATAAGGAACAAACATATAAGTGGAAGTTTAGGATAAAGGTGGGCGACCCCAAGTAGTTGGGATTAAGGTGAGGAAAATGAAGATGAAAGAAATATAGTCCAAAATGTAAAAAATTAAAAGAAATTATAAAAAACTTACTTAAAACTGAAAATACTAATTTTTTAATCAACAGTGTGAGGTTAAAATTTTCCTTAAATTCATCATGAATACATAAAATATTGTCTCTTCAAATATTGAATAGTTAATTCACAATAATTTAAATTATTGGTATAAAAGAGTGACCCTAAATATTATCGATACTTGGACATTACAACATATTTATAGAACAAATTATTTGTTGCCAATTAAAAAAAATAAATATTATTAATAAACATTTAGTCTATTGGAAAAAATTAATTTTTCGATATTAATGGTTATTGGACTTATGTTAGATAACATTTAATTTTTTCTTTGATAGACGTATTCAAGAATAGGTAAATATTCTTTAATAACTCTTTGTTTTGAAAGTTTTGTTCTTCTCTATTTATAGATATTTATAAAATTATTATTTACTTCAAACATTTTTAAAATTGAAATAATTATTAAAAATTTGCTTATTTAGTTTAAAATTTTCTAAATTAGTGTTGTTATTATAGAAATTCATACTTGTCAAAATACTGAATTCACATGTAAAAATGGACGTTGTATCTCTTATGAATACATTTGTAATATGGAAGATAATTGTGGTGATGGGTCTGATGAAACCATGTGTAGTCTTTGTCCAGGACAAGTAAGAAATGTTTTTTTACTTTTTAAAAAATCATCAATATGAAATATGAAACAATAAAATGGCTCACAGATAAGTGATTCCTAGTATAATTATTTTATATAAATTTCTCTACTTTCTAAAAATTCTATCTTAAAATTTTATCTATACAAAGCTATTTTACATTTGTACAGTTTTGTTATTTTATAAAATATATAAGACTTAGTATTTTACTTAGTAAAATACTTTTACTCTAAGTCAATTATTTTTAGTTTTTTTGTGCAAAGAATAATACTTGCATACCATTAACAAAAAAGTGTGATGGAACTATTGATTGTGATGGCGCTCTAGATGAATTGAATTGTGTTGGGTTACATACTTCCTTAAATGTTTGTTCAAATGATGAATTTCTATGTACTAATTCTACCGGTTTTTGTATTGATGAGCGCTATGTTTGTGATGGGTTGCCTGATTGCCCTGATAATAGTGATGAAAAAAATTGCAGTAAGTATCCTCTTAATATTTTATATTGTATTTGTATTTAATTAACTAATGCATATGTTATACTGCAAATTCTTACAGCTTCTATGAAAAATTGTAGTAGTAATGCATGCAATGTACACAAAGATGATTTTGTTTTCTCAAATTGTTCGTATCCCAATCATTCCTGTGATAACAATACATTATGTCTATTGCCAGATTTCTTATGTGATACTAAAAATGATTGCTTAGATGGTTCAGATGAAAGCGGACAGTGTGGTAAATTGCATACACCTTTATATTATAGTGACAAACATTCTTATTAGTAATGACAAAATCTACTTGGAATATATTCCAATTATAAGGGATTTTAAATATGATATTTTAAAGTTATATTATTTAATATTAGATTATAGTTTTATTGTAATCTAATTTTTTCATTTTATTTTTAGTTGAAAATCTATGTGAAACTGCGTCTGAATGTTCACATATTTGTAAGAACAGTCCAAATGGATTTATTTGTCTTTGCCCTGAAAATATGAATCTTCAACCTGATGGAGTAACTTGTTCAATTATTAGTCCTTGTAGTTGGGGCAGTTGCTCCCAAATTTGTGTACAAATTGGCAAATATGGACACAAATGTTCTTGCAAAAGTGGTTTTTCATTGTCTGCTGATAAATTTACTTGTAAAAGTATCAACAAAAGTAATAAAATTATAATACTTTTTTAATATACATAATATATGTTTTGTGGATTTTTTTTTTTTAATCAATGCAATAGAAATTAAATTTTAAAAAGTTACCAAATAGAAAAACATTTCTGTTTGGAACTGTTAAAATATGTTTGAAAGTTATAAAATTATGTTATTTTTCTACAATACATCATTTTTGGCTTTGCATAATGTGTGATACATACAATTAGTAATAAAACTTTATTTTTCTAGGTCAGTATACTCCTCTAATAATTTTTAGCAATAAACATGAGATACGAAGTATTGATTTAACAACAAGAGATGCTAAGTCAATGATTTCTAATCTTAAAAATACTGTCAATTTAGATTTTTATCAAGCAAAAAATGGATTTGATATTTTATATTGGACTGATGTAAAAGAAGATAAAATTTTTAAAGGGACATTAATTGGTGGTTGTATGTATTAATTTTTTGTTTTGTAAGTTTACTTTTTATTAATGTCATTTTAAAAACATATAAAATTTTTAGCTTTAAGTGATATTGAAATAGTTGTTCAAAGTGGTTTAACGTTAGCTGAAGGTCTTGCTGTTGATTGGGTAGCTAGTAATTTATATTGGATTGAAAGTAATTTAGACCAAATAGAGGTATCTAAACTGAATGGAAGTTTCCGTAAGAGTTTAATTGCTGGTGACATGGAGAGTCCAAGAGCTATTGCAATTGACCCAAGATATGGATATTTATTTTGGACTGATTGGGATTCATCAGCTCCTCGGATTGAACGCTGTAGTATGGCTGGCGAATTTCGGAAAGTTATTGTTTACATTAATCTATTTGAAGATGGAGAATGGCCCAATGGCTTGACTTTAGATTATGATTTAGATAGAATCTACTGGATTGATGCAAAGTAAAGTTTTGATAATTTTATTTAAAATTATAAGATATATATATATATATAGTATAAACTTCTAGATCGGATTCCATACATACAGTTGACTACAATGGAAAAGATCATCATCAAGTTCTAAAAGGGCATGCACTTCTCTCACATTCATTTTCAATCACACTTTTTGAAAATGATGTGTATTGGACTGATTGGCGTAGCAATTCTGTGAATAAGGCAAACAAATGGACTGGAACTAATGTAACTGTTATTCAACATACAACAACACAGCCTTTTGATGTGAAAATTTTGCACCCAAGACGTCAACCCAAGGGTATTATTCAAATTGTATTGTATTTTTAAAAAATAATTTTGAAATATTAATATTGTTTAATATTTTTCAACAAAATTTATTATAAAATAATTTATTTTGAAATACGTTAGCCATTAGAACCAGTGGTGTAATTTGGACAAAAATTTAGTAGTCATTAATTTTTTTAATTTATTTTATGGGGATCAGCGATTTGAATACTCTTTGATTGTTGTTAATATTATATTATATGGTGCCTTGGTGTAAGACATTAATGAGTTCTTTATGAATTAATACCATTTTAAGGTAAATAGATACACAATTAACTTTTAATAATGCATACAATTTTTTTATTATTATTATCACCAGGGATAGGTGGGCGGTCATTGAAAGTGTATCAGAATTCATGTGAAAAAAAGATGCATGGTATTAGATTTCCCAAGCCAAGGGAATTGAGTTGTAATGATAAATCTTATTATTAAATAACAGACACTTATGATTTAGATTCCTAACATTTCCATATAGGTTAATAATGTGATGTGTAGTTGAGAGAAATAGTGCAGTGTTAGTTTTTATTTTTTTGTATATTAATTTTAACTAATCAACACTTAGAATTTTGAGGCAAAATGTATCATTGTATCATTGTGTGTAATAAAAGAATAATATTATTAATAATAGGTAGGCGGTCTAGCTCTGTTGGTAATGTTTTATGCTGTGTTGTGTAGATACTGAGGTTCAATTCCATTGCGCTGAACAAAGTTGTCCCATCCTTTCTAGCACAAATAATAGCTTTTAGAGAGAATGTTTATTGTGATTAATAATATATTTGACTATATTATTTTACAACTATTGTAGGTCCTAAAAAATTCAGTTGAGTATTTTTTTGATTCTTAAATTATTTTTATTAAAGTAATTAAGAATTTTATTTCTGAAGTTTTTTCTGATATACTCTATACATAAATATTTTACTATAAACATATTATCTAAATTTAACTCTACTCATAACACATTAAATTTCAAAAGAGCTGTACTTCAATAAAAATTGTTTTGAGATAAACGACTTCTTAGTTTTAATCTTCCATAGGAGTTCTCTTATTAATTTCTCTTATTTTAGCATTAAGTTCAATGTAATGTTTATTTAATTTGCTTGAATTTTTAGATAGAGAATAATATACTATATATAATGATTGTTTAACTACAACTTATGAAATATCTTTAAAAATATACATAATCTAGTTTTCTTTTTTAAAATTTAATATTAACCTTTGTTCTATAATTTTCTAAATAAAATTTAGTGATATAATTCCCTTCCTCTTTAAAATAGTAATAACTTTAAATGGAAACATGTATTTTTAATTAACTTACAAATAAGAAAATAATTTAATAAAATGATTGTTAATAATTTTTGAATCTGTATTTTAGAAGTTATTGAAAGGAGGGTTAGTGGGGTTCATAAATGTATAGAGAAAAAATAAACAGACCCGCAATAAATTATCATAGTTTAAAATAAAATATTAATAAATTCCTAAATACTGGTTCAAAAGTTACGAATAGTAATTTTTTTTTACAGTTAGTTAAACATATGTTTCTATCTAAAAAAAAAAAATGATAAAATTTTAAGAGAATGATAGGTAATAATTTTTAATTTCTTTATTAAAATTATAAAATATAGAATACTATTAACTTCAAAAAATATATAAATTTATATTTATAATTATATCTAAATAATTCAGGTTTATAATAAATTTTTATTAAATCTTTGATATATATATTGTAATTAGTAAAAACATGTGTATTAAATTGAATTTCCTCATTTATTAATAAATGTTAAGTGTTTTTCACTTAAATTATTGTTTGCACTTTATTTAAAGTGTTGTTTTAATAATGTATATATTTTTTTTTTATAAAGTTGATTACAACCCATGTGAAGTTAATAATGGGAATTGTTCTCATTTATGTTTATTGAGTATAAATTTTACTTATAAATGTGATTGTCCACATGTAATGCAATTGTCAAAGGATAATCATACGTGTATTGGTAAATTTTTTAATAGTAATTATATAATTATATTTATTGTATAGTGACTAAATATTGTTTTCATTTTTCTTAGTGAATGAAGTGATTTTATTATTTGCACAAAATAATGAGATTCGTGGTGTTGACATGGATCAGCCTTATTACAATACAATTCCTACATTGCTTTCTTATGAAACAGAAATTCTTTTAAATATTCAGATAGATTTTGTATCTTTGGATAAACAAATTTATTGGTCTGATTACTCAAACAATGAAATAAAAAGATCAAGTTTATTTGGCGGAACCCCAGAAGTTATTTTAGATACAGGTAATTCATAGTAATAATGAAATAGTTGAAATTCATTATAAAGCGTGATTGCTTAAACAGCAATCTTGCGTTCTTATTTTTAAAAGTTTAAAACATAATGTAATTTTCTATTCAGAACTTAAGTATGTATTCTAATAATAAGATAAATTTTATAATACTAGTTAAGCAAGCAATAATGTCCAAAACAAAATGTAAGGCTATAGAAAAATAAAGGAGTGAAGAGAAATGTGAAAATGAGAACGTTAAGGTAGAAGTATGGATTGACTAGTGAGAATTGGAATAAAAAATAAGAATTCAGAAGTACAAAAGTTTGTTTTATAGTAGCATCAATAGTTTACAAATTTTGAGAAAATAGATTTAGATGATTAACCACATTTTAAATAGGGACTGATGAAGTTAAATTAGTTGTTTATATGTGTAGAAGAGGAGGATAACTAAAAGAATCGTGAATGGAATAATTAGAAAGTAATATGAGAATGAAGGAGATCTAATTTAATGAAAGGACTAGGATTGCTAGCTATAAATAATTGAGATTAAAGGGGTGGAAAAAAAAGGTATAAAAATTATGTAGATGTGGTTTTCAAATTTTAAGAAAAAAATTGTTGGTTTTTAAAAAAGATAATAAGTTATTTAATATTCTTATCTTAAAGTATGTAAAAAAATATATTGTATCAACTAACTTAAGTAGTCAACTTATTTGTAAATCCCTTTATGTATTATTTTATTATATATTTATCTAAAAGTATAATGTATTTTAGTACGATTTAAAACTTATAAATTTTCTTTAATACATAAATTTATGTTAAATTTTAACCTTTTCTCTTCGACCAGACATCTGTCCACCAGTCAAACTTTACAACACTTTACTCCCCCAAAATAATAAAGTAAAATACTTAGGCCTCATTTTTGACAAACGACTAACTTGGAAAGACCATATAACTGAAAAAAGAAAACAATTAAACACCCGACTACATCTACTTCGCCCTCTCTTACGTTCCAAACTTAATCTAAAGCTAATAACACTCATCTACAAAACTCTTCTCTTTCCACTATGGTTTTATGGTATTCAAATCTGGGGCTGTGCCGCTCCATCCAACATCCAAAAAATCCAATCCTTTCAATCCATTTGCCTACGAACACTCACCAATTTCCCTTGGTACGTCCCTAATAAAACTCTTCATTCAGATCTTCAAATTAGTTATGTTAACAATATTGCCAAAACTGCTTACCTAAAATTTCACAACAAATTAAACTCTCACCCAAACCCTAATATCCAATACCTCTATTCAAAGCACATCCCCGACAATCCACCAAGAAGATTAAAAAGAAAATGGTGTAGAGACCTCCTATAGGAAAAAAAGGAAAAAAAATGAAATCAAAAAACAAAATTCAAAGTAGGTAGCTCCATTGGGTGCCCCCCTACTGCATGCTATTCAAGTCATATTGTAATTTTTTTTCACTACTGTTAACCCATTTAAGGTTGTGCATATATTTTGTATAGATGTAAATTTTATAAAAAGTTATTTGAATAAAATAAAAAAAAAAATTTTAAGTAAATAAATTTGTATTCATAAAAGTGATTTATTTTAGTATTTCATTTATTAAAACTATAAAATTAAATACTAAATTGTTATTTCCATAGGAATTCACAAACCTCATGGTTTTTCTATTGACTGGACAGCTAGAAATATGTTTATTGCTGTGAGTTCTGATCAACAATATTTCAATGAAGAAAACAGTTCGGGTGTTAATTTGATTGTAGTTTGCAATCTTAATGGAGAGTATTTTACCATCTTATACTCTAGTGACTGGACTGATAAAAATAATAATAGAACTGTAGAAATTGGCTCATTAACTGTTCTACCACAAGAAGGAAAATTATTTTGGGTTCAATCTATGGCTAGTGGACATCACAATATTATTATGTCTAACATGAATGGCACATCTTATTCCATAATTTTTTCAGAAAAAATAATACCTTTTGTGTCTGGATTTACAAGTAACTATATTTTTTTGGTTTCATAAATAAATCTAAAATACATTTTTTTCTTGAAGGCTTAACCATTGATCAAGAAACCAATACATTATACTGGGTTAATATTGATAAACATTTAATTCAATCATATAGTATACATGACTCAAAAGTTAATAAACCTTTAAAATTGCCAGAAGGAAGTAATCCATCTTCTATTGCACTGTACAAAAGTAATATTTATTATGTGGACAATAAATTAATGAATATTAGAGTGGCAAATAAAATAACTGGTGAAGGAAATTCTTTGTTTCGTAATTTAACTGCAGGTGATTTTGAATATAATTTTATATAAGTGATTAAATATATAAAGCTAAATAAACTTAAAGAAATTTTGTTTACTTTCTGTATTTTATTTTTCTTATGAAAATCACTCATCTTATATGTGGTGTGACTAATGGTCAGTAAAATAAAATATATATTAATAATTATTAATTAATTATAATTAATTTAAAACAAATATATCTTCCTAATCTATAAACTAATTTTTTTTAGATGTATATGCTTTAAGATTATATGATCCATCAATACAAATTGATACTAATTTATTCTGTTCAAAACATAGAGGCTTTTGTTCGCATTTATGTTTACCAATATCTTCAAAAGATAGACTTTGCCAATGTGCTATTGGCTTTACAATAGATACTAGTGATAATACAAAATGTATTGGAATCGATGAATTTTTGTTATACGCTGTAGAATCAGAAATTAAGGGTGTATCATTAATAATAAATGATACTAGTCCAGTTTTAGGTCCTTTGTCAAAAACTTCAATGGCAACTAGTATAGATTTTTATGATGGTAATAAAAATGTTTAGTTTTCTATTTAAATTATTTACAGATAATTCAGTAATAATTAATTTAATTGATATTAGAAATTTTATTTTGCAAATATTAAGTATTTCATAAATATAATTTAAAAAAGGGGATTTTGAAAGATTACTTGTTTTAATTGAACAATTTCAATTTCTACATTAAAATATCCTCATAAACACTTGTGTTCTCTTAGATGTATATAATATGTCTATATGACGTGTTATACTAGATATAAAATTAAAGAAGAGATGTCAATAAAATGTCTAACAGATATCTAAGTTCTGGTTTGTATGAAACATCTAGAGATGGCTAAAATGTATATGTATAGTAAACACTATTTGTATCTTTTAGACATCTATTAGATATCTATTCTAGATTTGGGTTAAAAAATATTTAATCATACTAAGAGTAATACTTTTACTAATTTTTAATAACTCTTTTTCAACACTATGTTTTACAGAAAAATGGTACGTACTATAGTAATATTTTTTTAAATTATTACATTACATTTTTTATAAAAAGTATAAAATATTATATAAAAGTTTTTATAAAACTATTATTAAAAAAATTATTATTTTAAAATTAAATAATAGTGATATTTCAGTTGAGTTATTAAAAGGTTTAATAACCCAATAACATGTTTTTGTTAGCTATTCTACATTCCCCCTTAACATTTACAAAATACTCTAAAATTGACTTTCTCTTACCTTTTCTTCTTTCTTTCAATTTCTTAACTTTCAACCTTCTTTGAGTCTTAGTTAAAATACTTTATCATGGAGAACTTCACTAATTAACATGTCAGTCCATTCATTTTTATTTTTGTCTCAAAAACAATTTGGGCCTGCTCTTTAAGGAAAAAAAGTAACATAAGTAATTTTTTGTTTTCTTTCCGACCATTTACGATTGCTATCCTCTCAAATTAAAAACTATTGTTTTATGCAATGACAAAGTAAAGTTATGTTTTAAATGTTTAGTAAATATAAGTTATATGTAATGTATAATATGTTTAACTTAAATCCTAGTACAGTTGGTTAGTAGGTATATCCAAGTGAGACAATTAGGTTAACTATGTTGACAATCGTCGATTGACTAATCATTGAATAAAATAAGTTATTAACAATATAAATAAGAGAATAATGATGCTATTGAAAACTATATCTATAACAGCCACTTAAATACAACTTGTTAATTCAACGTTTGAGTAGAATTGTCACATCAGCATCTCTGTCTATGCTAATTAAAATGTATTACAAATTAAGTAAATGAAAATACAATGTGCATAATATAAGTGATAAGAACATAGTAATAAATGTTCTTACACTTTAAAATTAAATGTTTCAAAAACTAAGTACAACAAAAAATGATGTTAAGTAAAATTAAAACTATATTAAAAATATTATTAATTTAAAAAACTAAAAAATATTAAAAATATTAAACTCAAAACCACAAAAAAATTAATGAAAAGTCGTATAACAACTATATGATTTTAGACTATATATACTGGTCTGATGACGAACAAGGAACTGTAACGAGAATAAAACGTGATGGAACTAGCAGACAAATAATTGTTAATCATAAAAATTCTGGAGAACTTAGGCAAGGCACTTGGGTTTCAGGTAAAATAAATATGATTTGTTATTTTTATTAGAACAATTATATTTTATTTTTAGTGTATTAACTATATTCATATTACAATTTTGTATTTGAGTTTGAAATTACAAACTCCAAATCGTGCTAAAATTTTGTATAAGTTGTAAAAATTATACAATTAACAGATATTTAATATAAAAACTTGTAAATTGTATTTAAAAAATTATGATGTAATAGATATTGTATCTTTCCATAAAAATAATCAACTCTCACTGTATTGATACTGCTCATCATCAATTTGTAAAAAAACTTAAATTTCAATTACTTAAGGAAATTTCCTTAAAAAAATGAAAAACATTTTTCAATTTTAATTATAAATAAAATATCTTAAAATTAAGTAACCTTCAAAATGAAAAAATTATTAGTATTATTTTAGCTTCGATGCGAAGCTGAGAAGGTATTGGTTTTACTAAGATGTGTTTATTTTTTTATTTTTTTTTTTTTTTTGTTTATGTCTTTTACCACTTTTTCTCAGCTCTCACTGAACGGATTTCTTTCAACGATATGTCAAAAAATCACAAATCGTATATAGTCAAAGACATTACCCTCAAAAATAGAAAAAATTTCCCTCGTTCCCCGTAAATGGGGGAAACCTTCAAAAAAATTACAAATTTAAAAATCTCTAATTTTCAAAATTTTTTTTACTAAAAACTGCCATAACTTTTTCAAAAATGAACATATCAATATAATTTTTTTTTTTATATAGATATTTGATGTCTTTATCTATCATTTGGTATATATTTTTTGTAAATCTGATACTTAACCTGCCCATAGGGAGGGATTTAAAATGACAACTTTTTTACAAAAAATTAACTTTTTCAACTTAACTTTTGAAAATGTTCCGGAAGGTCTGACACTTTAATATATATCTTAAATTAAAGCTAATGTAATATAATTTAATTTAAAAAAAAAAAAATATTGACCTCTGGACTTGTCTTCATAGCGAAAATGGCATCTGAATGCTATTTTTGTGTGAAATTTCTTGATTTTATATTTTACATTTTTTACTTTAAAAGGCTATAACTTTTTAAAAAATGCATGGATCAATACAATTTTTTATGAGAAATAATATTTTTTAATAATCTCTTTTTCATTCGACATACTTTATCTTAATCAGGATATTAATAAGGAACTAGCAGATCATGTAGCTTTTGGAATAATACACCAATTTTTTAAAATTAAACACTATCTAAAGATTTGCATTGAAGCGTTTTATTTTTGAAAGTGATTTTAATCACTGTCAGATATCATTATACTTGATCCAACTATGCCACGTCACCACTGTGCCGCGACCCCCCTGTGCTGGGTTTTTTTAATTGTTAAAAATTGTATGAATCTTATTGAAATTATAATGATATAACTAGAAACAATAGTTTTTTTTCAATGTATTATTTTTGAAAATCCAATGAAATATCTAAGAGAAAAATTGATTTGAATGCAGCAATATACCAAATATTATTTTTGTTTAAAAACAAACTTTGAGCCATTATTTTAGAAATTATTAATACTCAAAAATATAGTTTGATTGTGAAGTGCGTTCATATTATTTTATCATTAATTGTTTCTTATTCTAGTTCCTTCTCTATTCAATTATAAAAATATTTGTCTTATGAAATATGATTCAAAAGATTTTAAAATAATCATTTTCTGAATTAAATTATTTTTTAAGATCTAAGCCAGTTAAATATATTGTCACCTCCAATAAAATATCTCCTTATTAATATAAGAATTAATTATTTAATCTTGTCTATACTTATACAATTTTTATTTGACTTTTAACAATTGCTTTTTATCAATCATAATATTTTGAAAAAATGCTAATTTTATTTCATAGAGTGATTTAATATATTATAAAATAATATAACATATTGAAAATGTAAAAATAAATAAAATACATTTTATCTAGGTATTTGTATTGATTGGATTTCTGGTCATATTTACTGGGCAAATCCTATTTTGAACATTATACAAGTTGCCTATCTAAATGGATCAAATGCTTTTATTGTGATAGATGGTAAAGAAACTATGGAACATCCTAATTCTCTTGCTGTTGATCCTAAAAAAGGTTTCCTTTTTTGGAGTATAAGACGTTATCATGGAATTTACCGATCTACACTTGATGGTAATAATATAAAAAATGTTGTATTTTACAAAGATAGATCATACATTGAAGATATAACACTAGATGATAAAGTAAATAATTGATATATTAATTGTTTGATTATGTATGCTACTTAATATTATTTTTTAATGTTTTGTAATAGAATCATAAAATATATTTTTGCCAAAAAAGTTTAATTGGACGCTGTAATTATGATGGTGCTGAATATGAAATTTTATATGAAGACAAAAATATTAATCCAGTCAGTTTAGTTGTACATGATGAAAATTTGTATTGGCTTGGTCTGTGAGTATAAAAGTTAAAGCTTTTTAAAATATTCTTAAATCTGTAATCATTTGAAATAATAACATTTAAAAATTATTTATGTTCTTTTATTGTTTAACAAATTTGTTTTAAATATACTATAGAGCTCAAGTAAAAGGTTCATCTTCATTAATGATTTCTCCTATTGGTAATTTATCTAATACTAAGGAGTTAATACAGGATTTAGGTGAACACCCTAAGGATGTTCAAATTTTTTCGAAATTTCGCCACCAAGGAACTAATGAATGTGCCAAAAATAATGGAGGTTGTCATGAATTGTGTTTGTTTAATGGAACATATAGTGTTTGTGTTTGTTCCAAAGGTATTATTAATGATGATGGCAAATCATGTGATGGTATGTTAATCAAATCATATTAAAATAGATTACGAATATTAAATTTTTAGTAATTATTTAGTGAATATAATTGTTTTTTTAGATTATAAAACTTTTGTTATGTATTCTGAAGTTAATAAAATAGCGAGCATCAATATTTCAGAAAACCCAAATATTATAACTCCATTCAGAGTAATAGAATCAAAATTATATGTGCAAAATGTAATTGCAGTATCATTTGATTATCAAAGATCTTTATTATTTTATTCTGATATTCAACGTGGCACCATTGATGCAATACACTTTAATGACACTGGACATCGAGTTATAGCTGAACGTATGAATTTTTACACTTAAAGAAATTTTAAATGTTAGCAGTTGCGTTTATGACACTTTAATCTAAAATTCACTTGGAGTTAATGTAAATTTAACTTTTTAAAATTTTATAACATGTGATCATCACTGATGTATGTTGGATTTTTAAACATGGATTTTCCAAAAGTAAAGAGTTAATCCATATAAAATCAACCTAAGTGGTTGCTGTACAACTATTTAAATTTTTTTTGAAATTTCAAACGTGAGTTTTCTAATATATAAATAAAAAAAAAAGATTTATAACCTGTTAAAATTTAGAAATTTTGTAATAAATAATATTTTCTAAGTAATTCTGAAATAATCTTTTTTTTTTTATAAAAAAAAATGACTTTCAAAATTAAAATTAATGATGAAGTACAAATGTTTTAATTAAATTTGTTTATTATATTTCATTAGTTTTTATTGTAAAATTTTTTTTTTTTTTTGTCCATCGGAGAAAACTAAAATAAAGTTTTTAGTAATTTGAATTATTTTAAAATGTGTTCTAAAAAAATGTCAAAATAAAATATTCAAAACATAATTATATTATAATACTGAATAATGTTAAGATGATGTAAAAAATATTGTTTTTAGCGTTAATTTTAATTTTAAAAAAGTTTTTTTTTTTATATAAAAAAGGGTTTTTAAAAATTACTTAAAAATATATATCAAAAATTAAAAAATCCATTTGTTAATTATTGAAAATGGTAAACCTGTTAAAATAATGTTACTTGTTAAATGGTCATGTAACTACTCTGGATGATTGATGTAGATCGTCGTCTGAATGAGTAAAATTTTTTTTCTAATCATTGTATAATAATTTGAAATAAAATACTAAAAAAGAAAGAAAATAACACTATTTTTAGGGGAGACAGATTTGTCATTTGTAATATTTACATGTCTTATATTCTGTATTTATATTAGTTTTTTTAAGTAAATGTCTTGGGTAATTCTGTTTAATATTGGTGTGTAATAAAATTAAGATGTAAATGACACCTCTGCTTAGCAGTTGTACGAAATGTTTTAATTTAATTTAATTTTTGTTGTTTTTCTCATGTTAATATTTTGATTATTCTTTCATTGTTGAATTTTAGATCAAGGCTCTGTAGAAGGACTTGATTATGAAAATATTCATAATATGCTTTATTGGACCAATGGCAATGCTACAATAAGCCGTATAAATCTTAATGATCCAAATGCTAAACCTGAAGTAGTTTTAAAATTAAGTCAATCTGATAGACTCCGAGGAATTGCAATTGATAGTTGTGAATTGTAAGTGAATTTTTTTTAATAAAATGATTTTCTTTTTTATTTTAAATAATTAAGGTTTTCACTGTACAAAAATCTTATATAAAATTTATTTATTTTTAGAAAAACTAAAATCAAAGTTTTCAATTCAATTATTTTAAAACAAGTTTATTTTAAATATTTTTTGATATTATATAGTTATTTATTGATAATAATTTAAGTGATACTTTGGTATTATTATTATTTTTATTTTAACTTAAAAATATAAAAAAAAGTTTATGTGTCTATTTTTTAAAGAATGTAAATATATTTAAGATAAAAATTATAGTATATCAAAAATCTTAGAAAAAAAAAATGTATAAGTAAATCAATTACAAAAAATAAACCTTGACTTACAGTCAAAATTCAGCATAATGGGGATTCAGCTACGAAACTGTATATTTTTCAAAATCAAAGTGCTACAGAGGGTTTTTAGTGATTCTTTAAAGAGCTAATAGATAAATAAAAGTGTCAACTATATAATTAATTCAACCATTGGAATGTGTATTTTAGTTTCGATGCGAAGTTGAGAAGGTATAATTTTACCATGATATGTTTATATTTATATTTATGTCAGTTGCCACTTTTATTCAGTTCTCACTGAGATTTCTTTCTATGATACGTCAAAAGACCACAATCATATCTAATTGAAAATATTACCCTTAAAAATTGAAATAAATACCTTCGTTCCCTGTATGTAGAGAAAATCCCCTAAAAAATTACAATTGGTAAATTTTGACATTTTTTTCTCATAAAACTGCCATAACTTTTTTAAAAATAAACGTACCAAATTAATTTTTTTTTAAATAGAAACTTTAGGTATTTCCCTTTCATATGATATACATTTTTTCAAACCTATCCCTTTACCTGCCTACAAGGGCAGATTCAAAATAGCAACTTTTTTACAAAAGTGAATTTTTTCAACTTAACTTTTGAAAATGTTTGGGAAATACTGTGTCTTTTAATTATATTTTAAATTAAAATTTATGTTATGTACTATAAGTTTAAAAAAAAATTTTCTCGACCTATCTTTTATGTGCAATTGGCAGTCGAAGTTGACACAAAAAATAAGAGTTCATTTTGCTTTTGGAATAATCCACCAATTTCTTAAAAATTAATCACTATCTATAGATTTTCAACAAAGCATTTCTTATGATGGTGATTTTAATCACTGTCAGTCAGATATCATTTATACTTGTTCATACTGTGCCATGACCACTCTTCTACCAATTTTTTATATGTGAATATTCATTTTTATATAATTAGTTACAATATCAAAAATAAAGGTGATAATAGAAGTCAAGTTGTAGATATAAAATCAGCGCAAAAAATTGATCATGAAAAGTATATTTTTGACCTTGATGTAAATTCTTTTTTTAAAATCTGACCGTTTCTCTTTGTACGGGGGGTTAAAAAATTTTTATATAAATTAATTCAAATTAATTACTGTCGATATTTTAAAGCTAAGTTTTATTATATAGAAAATGCACTTTCTGTTAGTTAAACTTTTTCAAATTATAACTTGCATATTAAGTAGAGTTTTTGAATTTTTAGCGTAACCTTATTACATGTATAATTTTATTTGAAAAATGTAAAAACGAAAATAATTTTATGATATAAGATGTATCAACAATTTTGGATGTCAGATACTGATTTTTGTAGCTTAAAATAATAGCTCAGTCAAAAGTTAATGTAATAAAAAAAAAATGTTAAAGGTACTTTAAAAATGACTTTTGAGGATGATGTAAAAATTTTACATCTTACATCACTAAACTCTTAATTACCAAGTGTTTTTCACAAAATATTTAAAAGCTTGCAGAAGAGCGCTAAAAGCTTTTAGGCCTTCGCCAATAACTTTTCTTGGATTCATAATACAGTACTCAAAAAAAAATTTATTTTGTAAATCAATTTTTCTAAAATCAATCAATCTTATTTTTTGTATAATAATTTTTTTTTTTTTTTGATCCAGACGTATGTATTGGACTAATTGGAATAATTTAAAACCTAGTATACAAAGAGCTTCTTTAAATGGATACATGATAGAAACTATTATAGGTACTGATATTCAAATTCCAAATGCTCTCACAATAGATCATGTCGCTCAAAAAATTTATTGGGGTGATGCAAAATTGGACAAAATAGAACGTTGTGAATATGATGGGACTAATCGTGTTGTATGTAACTAATATTATGTCTATAAATATCAATTTTTATTAAGGAATTATTTTATTAAACTCTTAGGTTCTAGCAGAATTGTATCCTCAACATCCATTTGATATTGCTGTTTATGGTGATCATTTCTTTTGGACAGATTGGATGTTACATGCAGTATTACGTGCTGATAAATATACAGGAGAAAATGTTGCATGGTTAAGAAAAGATATAATAAGGCCTATGGGAATAGTAGCTATTTCAAATAACACTAATGACTGTATAAGTTCAAATAACTAATTTTATATTGGAATTTTAAGAGCTATTTTTATCATAGGTTTTAAAAACCCATGTCGCATAAATAATGGTGATTGTGAAGATATTTGTCGTTTAGACATAAAGGGTGATATTGAATGTTCATGTCATAATGGCCGTACACTTTTATCAGATAAAAAAAGATGTATTAAGAACTCAAACAACGTTAAAAAAAATTGTTCAAAAAATGAATTTGCTTGTTCTTCCTTTGGTTGTGTGCCTATAGAAAACACTTGTGATAGTATACAACATTGCCAAGATGGATCTGATGAAGATTATAAATATTGTGGTAACTATAATTTCAATAATGTTTTTTCTTATAATTTTTTGTATTCATTTAATAAATAATACAAATTAATACATTTAATATATATATAATTTAATTTTTATTTTAAGCAACCAGAACTTGTCCTGATGAATTTTTTTCCTGTCAAGGATTTATAACTCGTTGTTTTTCTAACAAGCGAAAATGTGATGGTCATATTGATTGTTTAAAAGATGGTTCTGATGAAATTGATTGTACATGTCAAAATTCTACATATTTCCGTTGCAAATCAAATGAATGTATTGCTCCAAATTTACTTTGTGATGGCGATCCAGATTGTAGTGATGCAAGTGATGAAGTTGGATGTGGTAAATTTTTAATATTTAGGTATTAAAAAAAAATATATACAATCTAATTCATTTTTGTACTGCTGTTGTAGAACAAACTTCTTGTGAACATTTTTCTAATGCTACATTGATAAGCTGTAATACAACAACTGCTTGCATACATCCTTCATGGATTTGTGATGGTTATAATGATTGCTGGGATAATAATGATGAAAAAAATTGTTCCTCGTGTAAGATATGCAATTTTGTTAACAAGTTTTTAAATGAAACATTTTTATAGATAGTGAAATACTTAATATTTTTTATTAGTTTGAACAATTCTGTTTTAATAGTTCTACAAATTAGTTTAATTTTGTCATAATTCTAGTTTTTTTAATTAATCATATAGAATGATTGAAATCTGGTAAGATACTCATTTTCTCAAGACTATTGAAAATTTTTCAATTTTGTAAACAGAAATATTATTTGGTTTAAAAAACTATAGCAATATAGTATAATATAACCTAATATAACAAAAAAAAAATTGTTTTCATCTTTTCAGGGTTAAAAAATTAAAAATCTAATTTTATTAAATGGAAATTCCTATTTTAGACTTAATAGTATAATAAAAGAATAAATTAAATAAATCTGTTACAACATGTTAAGTGATTTTATTTCTATTGTTTTTTCATTGTATCATATACAGTAGTCTTATTTGTATACTATCACATAAACTAAGATATAACAAGTAAGAAAATAAAATGTAAAATATTACAAGTTTTCTTGATAATTATCTTAATAAATAGTTGTGGGCTTTCAAAACACATTATTTCTCCACCAGTATTATAAAACAAAATCGGTAGTAAATTTTTGCTTGAAATCTAAATCTTTAAACAATCTTAAAAGACAAATATTTAATTAGATAAAAAAAAATTATAAAAATAAAAGTGTTTGTAATTTTTTTTCCCTGTCATATTAAAAAAATGAGTTCCTAAGTAAGAAAATCAAATTAAGGATTTTACCTCTGAAGAGATGATAAAAATTAGTTAATTGCATATTGTTGTAGACTTTAAACCTAAATTTTTTTCTCTTTAAGACATTTAAAAAAAGTGCAGATTTATCAATACATTTTTAAAAAGTTAAGTTTTGATGTAAATATCAATTTTATTTTAAACTCGGCCAAAAAGTCAAATTTTTTAAAAAAATTATGTAATTTAAACAAAAAATACCTAAGGTATTAAAAATAATTTGGTTTAATTCATACATTTTCTAAAAGTTAATGGTGATATTAGGTTTAAAAATCTCAGCATTTTTCTATTTTTGAAGGTAATATCTTCAATTAGATAAGATTTGTGATTAATACCTTCTCAGTTTTAAATTAATTTTCATTGGAAATATTATTTTATAGGAATAAGTTAACATTTATAACTACATTATAAAAAAATTCTGTAATAATTTAATATTTGAGATATAATTTCTATAAAACAAAGGACTTGAAATCAATAACATGCACGAGCACAGCTTGAAAAATATGTATGTGGAGCTATTTTATAATTTATGATAATAAATCCAATAAAAAGGTTTTTTCACCTCATTGTTTTATCCCTCCTCTCCAAAAAATTTAATTTGACTGTGAGATTGGACATCTCCCATACAAACTACACTTATAATAATATATTATGCACCAAAAAATTAAAAATTAAGTTAGTTCCAAAAAAATGTTCTAAAAAGTACTAAGTCCAACAAATGAGTTGAGTGCCTTAAGAGAAAAATAGACCATGCAATAAGAAATTTCGACAGTGCTCTCTTTGGACATGGTTTGTAAGTAACTGTTAGATAATGTTAGTATCATACTGTTTTATTGGCTGAAAAAAAAATTAAATGAATCAAAATTTGTGATGTGATGAACACTCTTTAGCAGCTAGCTTTTTTTTAGGGTAAAAAAAAAGTGTTGATGAAATTTTTTATTGCAGTCATTTGAATTTAATCAATGATATAAGTAACAAAGACATAAATAAATGGATGAAGAAACAGTTCAGATAGAGAACCTTAGAAATTATAACTTAAAATAAAAATCTTGAGTAATTCATAATTTTCTTTGAATTTCTAAAAATTATGATTTGCTTAAAATTATGTTTTTGGCTCATAGTGTGTTATTCATTTCAGATCAGGTTTGACAATATATTACATTATTAAAACTTTTTATTTTTATTTTGTTATAAATATTAAAAGTTATTTAATCATATTATTTAGTTAAATTTTATGTTTTCTAACTACTATAATTCTTTAATTCAAGATCTCTCCTCTACTATTATCCCAAGTGACCCTAGTAAACTTAACTGGTAACGCGTTATCTATTAGCTGATTTATACCAGAAACTCAAGTAATAAAGAACTGCTAATGAGCGGTTTTTTCATTTAAACCTTTTATAAACTCCCAGATTATTTTTGTACTTATTGAAAACAAATATATATAATTTACAGATTGTACAAATTAATAATAATAATAAATTTTCGTTCTAGATAAAACTATATTACCATCAAAAAATAATTGTTTAGTTGGCGATTTTAAATGTTCAAATGGTAAATGTATAAACAAAAATTGGGTGTGTGATGGTGATGATGATTGTGGTGATTCGTCAAATACTTTAATACCTCCAACTGATGAAAGAAATTGTTGTAAGTATCCTTACAGTATGTATAATGGGTCTTCAAAACTATTTTTGTGTAATATTATTGTATTATTATTAAATAGTGTTATTTTAATTTAAGTTGAACAATTTATTTCAAGTTAAGTTAGTTTTTTTTTATTCTAAATTTAATGTAAAGCCGAGAAGTTATTTTATTATTATTTTTTTAAGTCAATACATATTGATCAAATTTTACTGGACTGATTTTGCTCAAAAAAATGTCAAAATATTACAAAGCATGTCTATAATTGTGATAAAATTACACTTAAACCCTGTAATATATCGAAATATCACAAAAATATTACATGTGTTACCATTTTTTCTCAGCTCTCACTGAACCGATTTCTTTCAACAATACATTAAAGATTACAAATCGTATCTAGTCGAAGACATTACTATCAAAAATTGAAAAGAATTTCCATCGTTCCCTGTAAATGAGAGAAATCTCAAAAAAAATTACAAATTTAAAAATCGCTAATTTTCAAAAAAATTTCAATTTTTTTTCTTAAAACTACCATAACTTTTTCAATAATGATTATATCAATATAATTTTTTTTATATGCATAATGTCTTTACTTATCATTTGATATAATTTTTTTTATATGCATAATGTCTTTACTTATCATTTGATATAATTTTTTTTATAAATTTGACACTTTACTTGCTCACAGGGAGGGATTCAAAATGACAACTTTTTCAACTTTACTTTAGAAAGTGTTCAGGAAATACTGACACTTTTATATATAACTTGAATTAAAACTTATGTAATATAAGCATTTTATGAAAAAAAAAAATTTCGAACTTTATTTTGTCTTCACGGTGTAATTGGCTACCAAATGTTATTTTTGTGTGAAAATTCTCGATTTTATTTTTTACATTTTTAACTTAATAATGCTATAACTTATTGAAAAGTGTATGAATCAACACAATTTTTTTATGAGAAATAATATTTTTTAATAATCTTTTTTTCATTCGACATACTTTATCTTAATCAGGATATTAATAAGGAACTAGCAGATCATGTAGCTTTTGGAATAATACACCAATTTTTTAAAATGAAACACTATCTAAAGATTTGCATCGAAGCGTTTTTTTTTATAGTGATTTTAATCACTGTCAGATATCATTATACTTGGTCCAACTATGCTACATCACCACTGTGCTGGGTTTTTTTTTTTAACTATTAATATAAGGGAGATGTTATTTTTTTTAGAAAAAATGAACTATAAAAAAATTTTGCTTTTTATTTGTGAGCTTCATAAATTTATTTTTATTAACCTATTATTAATTGATTGATTATTATTAATTAATTTATATGTTTTTTAGCTATTAAATGCAAACCATCTGAATTTCACTGTAAAACTAAAATGGAAACTTTTGAATGTTTACCAGCTTCATGGCAATGTGATGGAACTCTTGATTGTAGTGATGGATCTGATGAACCAAAAAATTGTTGTAAGATGTTTAAAATATTATAATTTTAGCATTATTGTTTTAATTATTCTTAAAGAATCAACTTTTCATGGGCATAAATAGAAATTTTAGAGGGGATTAAGTTGAGACTTAGTTTCATATAAATTCTTCTTTAAGTAAAACCTTATAGTCATAAAAATAAAAAAAACCCATTATTGTCAGAACCTAGCTTAGTTAGGACTAGGTATAGTTAAAAACAGTATAGATTTAAATCTAACAGTAATTAAAATTATTTTCATACAATATTTAAATGAAAATGTGCTGGATAATAGTTATGTAATTTTTTTGGGGGAAGAAAACTTATTTTTAAATGAGGCAGAGTTTGAGACTTCTCGATATGTTAATGCTACTAATAACACATAATATATTTTATGGTATTAAAGTTAATCATTTAATCTAAAATCTTTATTTTTCTAACTTTGATTACCATTAGTTACTTATAGAAGGTGAATGTTTGAAATGTTTTTATTCTTCAACATAAATAACATTGCAAAAATGTTAATTTAGTATATTTATAAGTATACTAAATTTTAACTTGGCACTCTATTTATCTTCTGTAAAAACAATAATTTTGAATTCATCTAATTGGTTATTTTATAAATAGAGAGATTAAGTATTTCAAATATTTTGGTGTTTGGCTATATACTTAATTTTTTTTTTTTTACAATTCAATTTATTGCAATAATAATAAATTATCAATTTTGATTTTTTTTTAGTAAACAGAAATTGTTCAATCAGCGATTTTCATTGTAACAAAACTGGTAGATGTATTCCTTTTTCGTGGGTATGTGACAAAGACAATGATTGTGGTGATGCTTCTGATGAGAATGATGAAGAATGTAAATTTTATAACAAAACCTTGTGTCCTCTTGATCAGTTCCAATGCTTAAACAAAAGATGTATTTTTCAAGTAATTTTCAAATATATATTGTTTTTATCATATTTCAGTCTAATACTATAACAAAATAATTTAACAGTTAAAAAAATTTTAATTTGTCCATCATTATTTTTAGATACAAATATTCAATTCTAGTTAAGTTAAAAAATAGATATTTATATGTTTTCAAATATAGTTATTATTCATAATATGTTTATTAAACTATTGATAGTTAATATTTTTTATAACAATATGTGAAAGTTATAAATTTATTTTATTGGGTTAGCATTGAAAAATAAATGTATATTTATATACATAATATGGTTGTATATGGTTGATACAATCTTTAAATTATTTTTAACTATTGCTATGAAGAGGCCCCAGTCAAAGTATTTTAGTTACAATTCTGATATTTTGTGGTTATTTATGTCATTTTCTGTTGCTAGTTTAATTTGAATTGGCGGATTGTCGCTATTGTACAGATAAGAAACTGACTAATCTATTCATTGAATTAGTGATATACTGCAAAGAGTATAGTCTATTTCTAAATTTTTTCTAGTTCAGTTTAGTATCATCTCTGTTTTTCACTAATGTTTAATTATGGTTTTCAATTTTTACTTAGCTGTCAGTTTTTTTCTAAACACCATGTTGTTTGAAGTCACCGGTTATTAAATACGGTAGTTGAACTAATATATGCCTGAGCTACGCCACTGTGAAGTTGCTTTGATTTAATATGTAAATTTTTTAAATTGTGATTGTTGTGTCAATTGTGATAGTTATTGCTATTATTTTAAGTTATATTATGTTAATAAATTTAAAGGGTATTTTTTTTCACATTGTAAATTTACTATAGTCAGAAAGTTATGATGTATTTTTCTTTAGAGATATGCTCATAAATATATTTTAAGTGATATATATGTCAGGAGGATATCTTCTGAAAAATAGAAGTTCTCCAAAAATTATTCAATTTAGATAGAATTTTCCCTTGAATCACTTATCATTTTTTTTACTCTTATTTAAACATATTTCAAATCGGTTTTCATATTGAGTTCCAAACTTTTTATAATTTAGAAGAAATATTTTGAATTACTAAATTTTTACTTCACTTGTCAACAAATATAATTGAATAAAGATATTTATAATTACAAGCAAACGTGACATTAGGTTTTTACACTATAACCATAGATTTTTGTTCCTTTTTCTCTATCAGGTAAAAATCAAAAGCAATAAAAAAAGAAGTTAACTATTCGGTGTGCTACTAAGTTCTCACTGTTTGTCAATAAATGACTCCAACAGTTAGTGCTAATCAATTTTAACACATTTAAAACATTATGAACCATGCTAAGACATATGGTAAACAAACTACTGTTCTTATGTAAGAAGGCCAATAACTATCACTAGGGAATGGTATCAACTTAAATTAATGTGACTGAGCTGAGCTCTGTGTGAAAAACGGCCACAATAAGAGTAGAGGTACTAAAAAGTGATTCCACTGCATGACAACAATCGGCCGCATGTTGCTAAACCTGTTAAACCTTCATAGAAACGGTTAAATGGGAACTTTTACCACATCTTTCATATTTTCCTGATATTGAGTCGTCTGATTATTACTTGTTTCGTTTGATGGTACATGGTCTTGCTGATTAGTAGTTCTGCTCATATAAAGATATTATGAAAAATGGTTTGATTTGTGAACAGCTTCAAAAGACAAACACTTTTATTGTAATAATATTCGAGCTTTATCAAAAAGATGGAAATTGTTTGTAGTTAGCGATGGGAAATACTTTTAATGATTTATTTTTAACTATTTTTTCACAATAAAGTTGTATTTTTATAAAAAAAAAAAACAGCAAGAACTTAATTGCGCAACTAATATAAATAGTTTATGATTTTCACCTGCTTGAAAAAAATAAAAAATGTAATGCATCAAGAATTGTGTAATATTAAAATATGATAAAATGTTTTCTATTAATAGAACTATCAATTCTATTGACTGACAATTTATATGCCATATTTTTATATGTTTATTTTGACCAATGGCATATTTAGTGATTTATTCTAGAGCAGCCTTTAGTGGAGTAAGGATATTAAGATTTTCAAATACTGTCTTAACTTGACTTTAAATTTAAATTTCCTAGAATTTTTTTTTCTTTTTTATATATATAAATTTATTTTAATTGTTCAATGTTTAATTTTATCATCTATAGGAATATTACTGTGATGGACATAATGATTGCGGTGATAATTCTGACGAACCAGAAAAATGTAAAGTATGTAATCCTGATAATGAATTTATTTGTGAAAATGGTGTTTGTATATTACATTCTGATGTTTGTAATGGTAAAAATGATTGTGGTGATAATTCTGATGAAAATTTGCATATAGAGGAATGTAGTAAGTGCTGTTTTTATTATGATATTTATCATAATAATTGCTTTAGATTTATTTCATATTACTAAAAAGAATAAATATTTTATAGAGAATTATAAGAATGAAAATTGTTTGTGGCCTAATAATTTTTTTTGCTATAACAAAATTTGTATTAATGCTAGTCTCACATGTAATGGTCAAAATGATTGTGGAGATTTCAGCGATGAAGATAAATGCAGTGAGTTAATAAGCACAGATTTTAAAAATAAAATTTCTGTAAAGTTGTATAGGTTAAATCTTTCTATTGAAATTATTAAATTACATTTAAAAATAACCCAGCACAGTGGGGTGGCAGCATAGTGGAGTCGTAACATAGTTGGGTCCAGTATAGATGATATCTGACAGTGATTAAAATCACTATCATAAAATACGTTTCGATGCAAATCTGTAGATAGTGTTTAATTTAAAAAAAAAAATTTGTCAAAAAAGTAGGTCAAGTGAGAGATGAGAAAATAAATGATAGCTACAAAAAAAAAAACCACATAGTAAAATAATATTAATATGAATTTCTTCTCACGAGAGGAGACTACAATAATGGAATCCTTGATATTTATTGAAGTTATTGAAGTAAAACATTTTTTTCTAACTCAAAAATAATTAAGAAAAAATACAGTGCCACAGACGTGAAAGACCCAAGTTTTACCATCTCAGAAACCGTACGTTGCATTCGTCACTTAATATAAATGGAAATTTAGCTAGTTCAAATTTTAAAGTTATTTTTCTCGACTTCAAAAATAACAAAAAAATTTAAATATGTCTAACTTTTTATTCTATGTCAATTAGATTGATATAATATTTCAGTTTCAAAATTTAATTTGAAAAAGTAAATTTTTTGTGAAAAAGTTGTCATTTTAAATCCCCCCTATGGGCAGGTTAAGTATCAAATTTACAAAAAATATATACCAAATGATAGATAAAGACATCAAGCATCTATAAAAAAAAAAATTATATTGATATGTTCATTTTTGAAAAAGTTACGGCAGTTTTTAGTAAAAAAAATTTCGAAAATTAGAGATTTTTAAATTTGTAATTTTTTTGGAGGTTTCCCCCATTTACGGGGAACGAGGGAAATTTTTTCAATTTTTGAGGGTAATGTCTTTGACTAGATACAATTTGTGATCTTTTGACGTATCATTGAATGAAATCGGTTCGGTGAGAGCTGAGAAAAAGTGGTAACAGACACAAAAAAAAAAAACATCTTAGTAAAACCAATACCTTCTCAGCTTCGCATCGAAGCTAAAAAAATAAACACATCATAGTAAAACCAATACCATCTCAGCTTCGCATCAAAGCTAAAATTGAAATATTTACACAGTAAATTAAAAAATTTAATAAATTCTAAGTATAATTTAATATTTATGATAATTTAAAATTTAATGTTTTAAGTTATAGTTGTTATTATATATATACATGTAACATATTAAACAATGAAAAGTAATTTAAATATTTCTTAGTTATTTTTATGAATATGTTAAGTTTTACAGTATTAAAGATTCAGTGATTATCGTGTAATAATTGTTTTTTAAATACTTTTTACACTTTAGGACCACAAAAATAATAGATATGAATAGAATAGAATAGAAGCATTTTTAATTGCTTTAAAAAGATAGCCATTTTATAAAACAGATTTTAATGGAAAATTTGATAATAAATACACTTTTTATACTTTTCAATTTTATAAATAATTAATTAATTAAAATAATATAAAACGAAGCTAAACTTAATAGTATAATGTATAAATAAAATAAACTATTAGATTCGTGGTGCATCATCATCAGGCTTTTATTATCAATAAAACAAACCAGTCAATGCTGTAAAGTAACATGAAACACCTCCAATGAGTTCATATACTAACATCTCATTGCCACTTACCCTAATCAACAACAGTTACGACAGTTTTCACCAACAAATTTAAACACTAAGAGTTTACATTTGTTTACAATTTACTAAATATTTGGTTAAAATCTGCTTTACAAAATGCTATCTTAAATTTTGAACAATTTTGTAAATAAATTGAAAAATATTTACAGTTAATATTATATCTTGTAGTCTTAAAGCATAAAAAGTATAAAAAAAAATTACTACAAAATAGTAGTCACTGGAATCAAAAGTTGTAAAATTTGTTAAAATATATTAGACTACTTAGCATATACTTAGTAAATTTTTAAATGCTAGCCACTTGATTAAAAATGATCTAAAAAATTAACTGGTCACTAATAAAAATTAGTGAAAATTAAATTGAAGAGAAATCGAGCAGCTATTGTTAAAAGAAACACTTTGTATATGTATGATAAATAAATTGCTTTAGTTGCGGTTTTGAAGTAGATAACTATGTAACATAAAAATATTTATATAGAAATATAATTTAAAAGTATTTTTACACGAATAGTCTTGTTGGGAATATTTTAATCAATTTTAAATACATCTGTGCTGAAATTGTTGATTTTTATTATAATAATACCATTATAGAAAATTGTCCTTATTTATATTAAAATTTTATTTTATTAGACATCAATGAGTGTCTTTTAGAAAATGTGACTAATGTGTTCCGCCCATGTGATCATATATGTATAGACCGTCCAGTTGGTTATGAATGTCAATGTTTTCCTGGTTATAAAGTGGTTGGGTCTGTATGTCATGATATCAATGAATGTAATTCAACTGAGATCATAAAACCATGTGATCAAATATGTTTCAATACTATTGGCTCTTATAAATGTAACTGTTTGGCTGGTTATAATTTATTACCTGATGGTCAATCATGCAAAGCTTCAACAAGTATTGATTATAAATTCTTTGTACTCGATTAATAATATTTAACTAATTTTATATCAATACCTATGTAATAATTTTAGTTGAGAAGCCTGCAATTATTTTTGCAAATAAATATTATCTAAAAAAAATTGATTTAAGAGGTGTTGAAAATGAAATATTAGTGGATAACTTGACAAATGCTGTTGCTATCGACTATGATTTTTCAGAAAATTGTTATTACTGGTCTGACATCACTAATCAAGGAAGCACAATTAAACGAATCTGCAATAATAAAATTTCTGAGGTACATAATATATTTTTAATACAGTTATTACGAATATAAACAGCAAATCATCATAGGAGATAAATATAACATCTACCTACCTAAAATATCCTCGATTAATTGTTTATAGTTTTACAAATTTAAAATATAAAATAAAACATTAATATTTCAGAATTTATAATACCTATTTGATAAAAGTCATTCATTATATTACTTTTGTTTCTAAGATCACTAGATCACTCTAGTTACGCACATAGACAGAACTGTTCTCTCAAATGCAGTGTCTTTTTTTTTTTCTCGACCGGCATTATTGTGAGCCGCCCTAGAACTGCGTGAGGCATTACTTCAGGGCGGCCCACTCCGTCTTAATAATTCACACCACCACGTTGTGAATCAGCCCGAAATTAATCAAGAGCTGATTGGCAACGTGGTGTGGCCCCCTCCCGTTAACCGGATCCCAGAGTGGGAACCATTAGGGAGGGTTGGCAAAATAACTCACAAACAAAAACAAAACACAAAAGCAAAAACAAGAACCAAAGACATCGGCCTAAACCAGCACCTCAGGTCCTCTTGTGCCGGGCGGCGTGACTGCCTCTGTCTCTGGCGTTCCAATTCCTACTTCTTTAACAAGACAGATTCGCCGAACGCCTAAACGAGTCTCCACGCCTCCCGGCTCCTCAACATCAGGTCCACCATGGACCTGACTCGGAACGTGGACCCAAAGAGACCCAACCAAACCCAATCCAACCGAAACTGTCCAGATTGCCGCCCGCCTCTGCACTCTGAGCAAGGCTTCACAGTTTTTGGACAAATACTCAAGAGTATCCGCCCAAACCCGGGACCCATACAGGAGGACCGAGTGTACGACATTGACTAAAAATCTGCGCCGCATCTCCCTCGGCCCTCCCATATTGGGCATGAGTGCTGCCAGGCAATTCATGACTTTCTGGGCCGCACGAGTAATGTGTAGCCCGAACTTTAGACGTTTGTCTATGACAAAGCCCAGATAAGTCATAGAGTCCTTAAGCGGAATCTCCTCCCCCAGCACGGCGAGCTGTGGGGGAGTGAACTTGTACCTGCCCGTGGACAAAACTGCTTCAGTCTTGTCCAGGGCGAGACTCAGTCCACTTCCCTCCTGCTGGATCTAGGTGGTGACTGTGCTGAGCGTGCAGTTCTCACGAGATCCAAATGCAGTGTCTATATGACCACAAATTTACTGTTGTTTTTATTTTACGGTTTATTTTTACGTAGTGTGTCATAACACACAACATATATTTGTAACATTTGTTAAATAACATTTACATTTTATTTAAAAATTTACTAATTATTTTTTCCTCTAACTCTCACAAAAAATATGATAGTATCTCTTATGTATAAATATATTCTAAAAAAAATTGGGGATGTTATTTGATAATAAAAATTAGTTAATAGTTAAGTATTTAATTTTATTTTTAAACACATTTTTTATTATACTTTTTATAACAATATTAGGAGGGAGATTAGAACAATAGTTTATTGTCACTTTTTTAGTATTTCCCATATTTAAAACAAACGTTTTGCCATTAATGAATATGTTTTCACGTTAGGTATGTTATCATTTTATTGTTATAATGGTACTGACCTATTCAAAACAATGTACCAAGCCTTCAGTAAAGAATATTATAAGACATTGTACACTGTAAAAAATTATACGAAAATTCCCTTACCTATGTATGAAATTTGTAATATACACATTAATTTTATTTACATAGCAACATTTTAATATATAATTGCTAAATTCATGTATAAATATGACTAAGTTAGCAAATATTTTTCTTATATTTTATTAGTTAATAACCACTGGTATATGTATGATTTAAAGTAAACACATATTGACATTCAAATATTTTTTATGCTGCTAACCCAAAAATATTTTCAATCTAACTTGTCAGTCTCATTATTTCGAATGTTTACAGATATATCCATGTCTTCAGTTTTAAGTTGAAGTTTCAAATTTGTTACAGAGTTCATCTTTGGAAAAAGGTTTTAATTTTTCTTGATCCTCAAAAAATACTAATGTAAGACCAAATAAACAGAATTGATAACTCATTGTTCATGGTTGAAGATTAGGAAAAAGAAATCATTAAACTAAAGAGTTGTAATATCTTAAGAGATTGTAAAAATAAATCTAATAATCAAACAAGTCATCAAAAAAACAGAGAAAACAATATCCGACGAAAAGAACAAAAAGGATTATTATTACCAAGATTACCAAGAATATATTGAGTGCCCAAAATTCATAAAAAAATATGTATCATTTAGACCATTTGCCTATATCATGAACTCTCCAACTTATAAGTTAGGACATTTAGCAAAAATACTCAAACCTAACTTTAAAAAAATATCCTATATAACTATTATATCACACACAAAATAACTTGATGAATGTTGTGGAAAAATTACAGTAAATTGTTTTGGAAAAAGGGAACATCAGTTTTGATATAATCTGTTTATTTACAATGATGCCAGTAAAGACTACACTGAGCATCATAAAGAAGGTGTAACTATACACCTAGGTAACAATTTTCGCAGAATATGGTATTACTACTTAGAATGACGACAAGAGCTGCAAGAACAGTTGACGTAAAAAAAAGAAAAACATGTTTACAGTAAGTACTTCAAAGCAACAGATACATAATTTAAAACATAAACAAAAAATTGAGAAAAGTTGAAAGAAAAAAAATATAATAAGCAAAACGAAGATAAAAACAAAGAATTGTGGACTGTATTTCAAGAATCACTAATAAATTCAAAATAATAATTGTTTTCAAACCAAACACAATCAAAGAAAAATTAATCTTAAGCCTTCACGACGAATTATTGGAAATGCAAACACCAGGTGTCTATGAAATACCATATTCATGTGACAAGACTTATATATAAAATAAATAGAAAAAGAAATTGCATAAAGAATAAAATAACATAAAAATGACGTACACTACCAAAGGGTGAAAAAATTCGTACTAGCCAAATAAGCCAAAAACAGTAGACATAGAATTAAATTTGACAAGAACAATATTTTGAAAAAAAAAAATCTTATTTTAGTAAACAAATATACAAAGAAATAATAGAAATTGAAAAATGTCCACAAAAAAATAACAGAGAACACGGTTAGAAAATTAGCGAGACTTGGTTACCTATTATATAACAAGAAAAAAGAAGACTAAATAATTAAGAAAATAACATAATATGTAAAAAGCCATATATCATATATTTGAAAATGGTTAGTGTAAAAAAGGAAGAGTAAAATGTTAGGAATGTCAAAAACAATAACAAAAATAACATAAAAAAAAAAAACAGACAGTGGTTATCAACTGATTATTAAACAAATGAAAATAAGTTACTGTATAGTTATAACCTTGAACCTGTTACTATCGTTATGAAAATGATCTCTGTGATAAGATTGAAAAACGATCATATAAACCTGAAGTCATGGATATGTCTGTAAATATTCTAAATATTATAAAAATCTATGAAAGCTTTATTATATTCTTTTCATTGTCATGATTTTTATTTATAGATAAAGATATAAAAAAGATTATTTTTTATTAATTTTTGAAATATAAAATTCAAGTTAAGATTTTATTTGATGTGGTGGTTTTACTATTTGACTAAAAATGATTTTTACCAAAATTGTATATATTTAGATGTTAATAATTAAATTGTATTTAATTGTTATAAAAAAAGTCAATGCATATGTGCTGATATAGATTAGTAAAAATGCATTTATTCTTATTTAGTTTTTAAATTATACCAAGATAGAATAGAAAAATAAAAAATTTATTTGATACAAATAGAGATATTAATTCTTCTTATTGTTGTGAATTAGCGTTTGCATGGACCAGCAATTTACAGCCCTGATGGGATTGCTGTTGACTGGATAGCTAAAAATTTGTATTGGTGTGATAAAGGTAAAGACACAATTGAAGTATCTAAATTAAATGGACAATTTAGGAAAGTCCTAATTAATAAAGGGCTTCAAGAACCCAGAGCCATTACTTTAGACCCAATTCATGGCTACATGTACTGGTCTGATTGGGGTGAAGTACCCCATATTGGTAAAGCTGGAATGGATGGCAGTAATCCAAAAGTGATAGTAAATGATACCCTTGGCTGGCCCAATGCATTAGCTATAAGTTTAGCAACAGAAGAATTATTTTGGGCTGATGCGAAAGAAGATTATATTGCCTATTCAGATTTAAATGGTTATAATAAGAAAATAGTCATGAGTAGAAGTAAGTTGATCAGTGTTCACTTTTCTAGTAAAATATTTAAATCTCTTCATTTTTTTTTTTTTTTTTTTTTTTTTTTTTTTTGTCAGAGATGAATCCTACAGTCAATTTACACCATGTATTTGCTATCACATTGTTTGAAAGTTATATTTATTGGTCAGATTGGGAAACAAAAACTATTCATAGATGTCATAAATATTCTGGCTTGGAATGTCAAAATGTTACATCTCTTATTCATAAGCCAATGGATATTAAAATTGTTCATCCATTACTACAACCATCAAGTAAATCAACAAAAATTTTATAAAAAAAATATTTTAAAGTTATTTTTTAACTTTCTATATAATAAATTTCACAAGTTATAAATTAACATTCAAACCATATAATAGAAAATAATTTGGTATTAATGTTTAATTTTAATGCACTATGTTTTTGATTGCTAGTTTTTTAATCTTTCTAGGAACTTATAATCCATGTGAGAAAAATAATGGAGGCTGTAAAGCTCTTTGCCTTATTTCTCCATCTTTAGGTAGAACTTGTGCATGTCCACAAGATTTCATTTTAGCACCAGATAACATGAATTGTATTGCAAATTGTTCATCATCTTATTTTGTGTGTGCCAATACTTTTAAATGTATACCTTTTTGGTGGCACTGTGATAAACATGTATGTGATAATTTTGATTTAATTAATTACTTTCTTTTTTTTTATATTTATTTGTATTAAGGATGACTGTGGTGATAGATCTGATGAACCTGCCAATTGTACTGATTTTCATTGTACACCAGGGCAATTCCAATGTAACAACAATCAATGTATTCATCCTTCACAAATTTGTAATGGTATATCTGATTGTACAGATAGTTCTGATGAAGAAGATTGTGAAAATGTATTTAAAAAGTTCTTTTAAAAAAGTTTCAGCCATTTAAATTTGATTCTTTTTACAGTATACATGTCTTGATACAGATTTTAAATGCCATTATGGTACCAACACTTCATCAATACCTGTTTGTATATCTAATCAGCTCAAATGTAATGGTCAAAACGATTGTAAAAATGGCGAAGACGAAAGTGATTGCAAATCAAAAACATGTGGAACAAAAGAAGTAACATTAGTAGAATAATTATTTTAACTATATATACTAAATGTAATAAATTTTCTAGTTTAAATGTTTAATCAGTGGGAAGTGTATTCCCAAAGTATTTATTTGTGATGGTGAAAACGATTGTGGTAAAGATGATGATTCAGATGAGCATCAGAATTGCACATTACGCACTTGTGCACCTGATGAATTACGTTGCAATAGTGGTCGATGTATTCATCAAACATGGAAATGTGATGGAGAAAGAGATTGTCCTGACAATGAGGATGAACCACCATCTTGCTTCAACACTACCTGTGACCCTACATATTTTAAATGTGCTAATGGAAAGTATGTATTTTATTTAAAAAGGATAAGAGGCTAAAAATAACAATGTAAAATAGTGTTCAGTATAATTGAAATATCAAATTCCAGGTTTTCTACCTAAGTAACATAAAATCACTTTTTCATTTTTAAATTTATTTTCTGTAATAATATTGATGTTTATATAATACATAAACTCCAATATTGAAAAAATATAAATATATATATTTATTTTTTCAAAAACCAAATAAAAAAATTTAGTAGTTTTTTTAAATAAACATCTAAATTTGTATTTTTATTTATATCAATTTAAATTTATTATTCCCATTAAATGATAGTATATTATATTATTAAAAAAATTATTCTTATCTAATATGTTCCTGATTTTTACGCGTTTCCATACACCATTTCTAAATTAATAAGTAATTTGATTTAAAAGACACTAGTGTTGTGTTTAAGTGGTTTGATACAGAAAAAAATATATATGGTAAATGTGCATAGTGACTGGTACAGCAGCTATATCTGTTCTTTCAGAAAGGGGAATAGTGAAATGGAATATTTTCAAAGAAAAACGAGTCATTTATCGATAGTTGTTATTTTTCATTGATTGACACTTTAAACAAAATAATGATCCTCATTAACAATATTGCTTAAAATGAAAAAAATGGATTTACAAGGTGATTTCTTAGATGATTCACTTATTCAATATGTATTTGATGGCATCAGAGATAAATAGGGCAATGTAACATGAAGATACTAATAAGATTTTTCTGTATGGGGCAATCACTTAAAAAAATTTATACTTAAGCTGGAATTTTATGAAAATTTAAGTCTAGAAAATAACAAAGGTATGTCAAGTGATAAAGAAAAAATAGCTCAAATTAACAGTAACAATGAAAAGTCACTTTATCAAATGAAATCAAAATTAAATGATAAACCGCAAGTAACAAAACACTACAAAAGTATCTCTTGAAGAATGATGTTTAATGTCAATTGAAACTGAAATAACTTGAGTTAAATGTAGGGGAAAGAAAATTTTAATCACTCATCATAAAGATAGCAACCTCTTATGAACCAAGAGCTACTAAAATAGTAAACTATAGAAACTGTTTAATTAATTAAAAAGAACTTAAATAAGAGAGGCAATATAAATGTTTATAAATAAAAATAATTTAATTAATTGAGATCTTGGCCCACTGAAAAATGTGTTATTAAACTTTGTAAACTGGCAAAATTTGATAATATTACTTATTGATAATGTTAATATGTCATAAGATTACTAGGGATTGTAAATGTTTTATGAAGACCTCTGTACTAAAATATTTGTTTATTGCTGCTAAAATATCATGCCTAACAAAAATTTTGGAAAATAACCATAGGTATTCTTTAAATTTGTTTCAAACCAACTAATGAAAAGTTCTGTTAAAAATGGTGATAGCAGATTTCCCATTGTTATGCCCTTAGTTTGCTTAATCCATAAGTTTGTTAAATTAATAAGCTCATTTATTTTATTCTATTCTATGCTTTTTTTTTTTAACCAGTTTTTAAGAAAAAAATCATTATATTTATCGGAAAATTCGGAAATAAGGCTACTACGTCAAAAGATTAATTTTTCCATGCTTACTACTATGATAAAAACTTATACTATACTAATTACGAAGTTATTTAATACTTCCTCAGCTATTAACTTCAACTTCTTTCAGTCCTATAAATTTTTTGTCCTCTCAGATTAAAGTCAAAAATATTAATCCTACATATTAGCTTCGATGCAAAGCTGAAAATGTATTGGCTTTAATATGATGTTTTTTTTTTTATATCTGTTGCCACTTTTTCTCAGGTCTCACTGGACCGATGTCTTTCAACAATACGTCAAAAGATCATAAATCGCATCTAGTTGATGAAATTACCCTTAAAAATTAAAAAAATTTTCCCTTGTTACCACAAATGGGGGAAATCTCCAAAAAATAACAATTTTTAAAATTGGTAAATTTTGTCATTTTTTTTCACTTTTTATTTCTTGAAACTTCCATAACTTTTTCAAAAATCAACAAATTAATATCATTTTTTTTTTATATGAAAACCTTAGATATTTCTTTTTCATTTGATATCATTTTTTTAAAAATCTAACACTTAAATTGCTCACAGGGGGGCATTTAAAATAGCAATATTTTTACAAAAACTAAGTTTTTCAAATTAACTTTTGAAAATGTTCCGAAAATACTACATCCTTTAAACATATACCAAATAAAATCTTATGTCATGTACTATAAAATTTAAAAAAAAAAATTTATACCGACGACTTATCTTCTATCAGAAAATGGCCGTCGAATTTAACAAAAAATGTAATTTTTATGTAAAATCACTGTTTAACATGAAATATTTTAATACTTAACACTGCCATAATTTTTTCAAAAATTAACAAATCAACATAATATAACATAAAAAACTAACACTTTACCTAATCACAGGGGGGGATTAAAAATGCAATTTTTGCACACAAGTTAAGCTTTTTCAATTTAATTTTTGGAAATATTCCTGAAATATTAACACTTTTAGTTAATCTTAAGCTTATATTATACAAGGTGATTTTTTTATCACAACCCACTCAATTACTTACAAAATAATAATAAATAGAACATTTTTATTTTCGATTATCTTTAGTTACACATCATTCTTGAATTATTAACTATGTAATACTTTTTAAGTTCATCCCTTATGCCTGGTAGGGGTGTCAACTTTGTTTTTTTTAAATGGGAACAAATATTTTGAATTTAATAAAATGTTTGAGTTTGTAATTTAAGAGTAAATGACATTTAAATTTTTAATATAATTTTATTTGTTTATTAGATATAAACATTTAAAGTTTTAAATTTTTGAGTTAATATACATATATAATACACAAGAGATTACTAATACAGATAGCTAATTGGTTTTTTGTGACATCAATATTAGCAGGTACACAGAATTGTTATTATCAATGGTAGTAAGGAACATTTTTGTGAGTTTATAAATACACTAACTAACAATACAAAAAGTATATCTATTGATAGTCATAATTGTAATAAACAATCCGTGACTGTGACAGCAATATCAAAAAAAACCAATTAGCTACCTATATTTGTATATTAACTCAAAAATTTGAAACTTTAAATGTTTATATCTAATAAACAAATAAAGTTATATTAAAAATTTAAATGCCATTTACTCTTAAATTTTTAATGAGTTTTTAACTCAAACATTTTATTAAATTCAAAATATTTGTTCCCATTTAAAAAAAACAAAGTTGACACCCCTACCAGGCATAAGGGATGAACTTAAAAAGTATTACATAGTTAATAATTCAAGAATGATGTGTAACTAAAGATAATCGAAAATAAAAATGTTCTATTTATTATTATTTTGTAAGTAATTGAGTGGGTTGTGATAAAAAAATCACCTTGTATAATATAAGCTTAAGATTAACTAAAAGTGTTAATATTTCAGGAATATTTCCAAAAATTAAATTGAAAAAGCTTAACTTGTGTGCAAAAATTGCTTTTTTAAATCCCCCCCACCCCCTAAATAAGGTTGAGCTAAAAGATATGGTAATAAATTCATTTTTTTTTATTATTATAAACTTTCACTTTAAAGGACGAAATAAAGAAGGTTAAAAATTATTACTTTTAACATATTAAAAATCAAAATGAATAATAATTTGAAAACATAACAATTATATAATATATAATTTTATATTATATTTTTGAATCTAAGAATTACTAATCTGGATATAATTAAAGAAATAGTTGATGTTGCTTTTGTAATTATTCACCAATTTCTTAGAATTAAACATTATCTACAGATTGGCATCGAAGCGTTTCTTATGATAGTGATTTTAATCACTGTCAGATTAAATCTATACTGGACCCAACTATGCCACGTCCTCATTGTGCTGCTATCCCACTGTGATGAGTTTTTTAACTGTCAAGTTATATTATTAAAATATTTATTTACTTTATTTTTTATAATTCTACACATATATAATCATTCGTAACAGACATTTGGTAATGTACTATTGACAATTATGAGGAGCTGTGCCTCCTATGTCTGCCTATACAAGCGTTAATTTAATAATTTGTGTTTAAAGTCAAAGTAATAATTTTAATTATCAATAATATCAATTCTTCAATATACATTTATAGTATTTGATTTTAAGATGTATTCCGGGACGCTGGCGATGTGATTATGAAAATGATTGTGGTGATAAAACTGATGAAATTGGATGTTTAGCAAGAAATTGTACAGAATTTGAGTTTAGGTAAATTTATTATTCCTTACTATATATGGTTTATCATAAACCACCCGAATACTGCATTACTCACAAAATAAATACAAAATTTAAAATAAACATTTTATTGTTTTTAATTACATACATTTTTTTTATTTATTAGCTATTAATTACTTTTTTGAATCATCCCATAACTTATAGGGGTGTTAATTTCAATTTTCAAATATTAACATACATATTTTACTAGCTTATAAAATAGATAATAATTTCTTCAAAACTTAATTTCATTTTTCTAATTAGGCAGGAGAAAGAGTATGGCAAGGAAATGAAAAGTGATAAAAATAGTAGCACCCACTCCTCACCTTCAGTCGTGATTTATATTGTTAATATTTTCTGAAATACTGGTCCAAAAGTTATTATCAACAAGTCATTTCCTTAATTGGATGATTATTGTCTATTTTATAATGTAAAGTTTAAAGTTGACACTCTAATAAATTATAAGACACAATTTTAAAAAGTAACTAATAGTTGATAAATCAAAAAATGTACATAATAAAAACAAATTTTTTTCTTTATTTGAATTGTAATATTTATATAATACTTGATTTAAAATTAAAACTCCAACAAAATAATAATTTTGGCAATGTATTATATGCCATAATAATTTTATAATTCATATAATTTTATATCATTTTTTGGAAAATAAATTGAATAACGTCTTAATTTGAATATGAATTTCGTGAGAGTATCATTGTAATATTTATTTTAGATTTCAGCAATATGTCCCATATTTGAGAGTTCAGGTTTTTCAATACCCATATCCTCTATCAAAGAAATATTCTTGAGATTTTTATTGTAAACATTACTACTAAAAATATTAGATCTAATAAGTCTAATTACCTGAAATAAAGTTTCTTAGTGCTAATGAAATCCTATTTCATAAAATCAATTTTTTTAATGTAGTTTATTAAAATGATAAAAAATATTAATTTGTAACTTATTAATTAGAAATCATAATTACTTGTCAATATCTAAGTTGGTAATAAAAATTATAAAACTTATTTTATTAATTACAATATGTACTACTTATTTTGGATGTTATATTTTTCAAACTTTATTAAAAGTTGTACATAGAACTTTTAAATTTATTCCATAATAAAACAACAATATAATGCAAATATTTTATTTTTATATGTGCTTTGTGGATATCAATTATTATTTAATTAAATTTTTTTTGTTAAGTAACTTATTAATAATATTCTGTAAAATTTAAGTGTTAAAACTATTAAGGTATAATATAATCAATATAAGATGTTCTAATAGAGTGAGTATTAAAACACTAGATGTTTTTTTACACGAGTATGGCATAGAATTTAATATGCTCTGTCTTCATATTTGTACCACTCCAAAAATTCAATATATTAGTGTGTATACTGCTATCTGTTTTATGTTCTCTTGCATGTTTATACAGGGTGTAAATCTTTCGAACCATAGTAATGTATGGACGAGTATGCTGGTAAAGTGTAAAATAGGACCTCGTTTTTTTTTTTTTTTTCCAAAATTGGAGGAATTTTGGAATAACCCCCCCAAATTTCTCTAAAATTAAAAATAAATCATACCACAATATTCTCCGCGAAATTCTCATACAAATTGAGTGGTCACTCGATTTTTTGTAACTTTTGCGCCCTCCCCCGAACTTTGGGTTCAAAGTTGGAAAAAAATTTCACATTAGTGTGACCCATCAATTTGTATTGAAATTTCAATGGGAGTCCTGTGATGTAGTTTATTTTTAGTTTAATCGATTAAATAATAAGAAATACCGAAAAACCCACAAATAATGTGATATTTTTTTAATTTCATGAGTCTATTTCGTCTTTTATTATTTATTCAAACCGATTATAATTTTTATCATTGAAACTGTTATAAAATTATAAAAAATTTTCTTTTTAGGTCCCGAAAATAAAACAATTATACTATTGAAATGAATATTTTTAACTTTATTACAATAGGATAATTAGAAATAATTATTTTAATGTAATCGGCACACTACTCTTTTCCGAAATTAATCAATAATGAGAATATGGTACATCACTGAGCTTGTTAATGTTTATTTAAATGTTCGAAAAATACTGTTCACTATTGAATAGTCACTTATTAAGTTGCACATAATATTAGATAACCTTTAAAATATAGCTTCTTTTTTTGTGCAATAAAAATGCATAAATATTACATATTTGTAAGTTTTTTCGGTTTTTCTTGTTATTTAATCGTTTATACTAAAAATAAACTACATCACAGGACTCCCTGTAAAATTACGATACAAATTGATAGGTCACACTAATGTGAAATTGTTTTCCAACTTTGAACCCAAAGTTCAGGGGAGGGCGCAAAAGTTACAAAAAATCGAGTGACCACTCAATTTGTATGAGAATTTCGCGGGGAATATTGTGGTATGATTTATTTTTAATTTTAGAGAAATTTGGGGGGGTTATTCCAAAATTCCTCCAATTTTGGAAAATAAAAAAAAAAAAACGAGGTCCTATTTTACACTTTACCAGCATACTCGCCCATACATTACTATGGTTCGAAAGATTTACATCCTGTATAACTAAAAATTATTACTTCATTCTTTTTAGAAAATATCATGTATCTTCCACATTTGTCTTATTAAAATTTGAAAAATTAGGAGGGGAAATGATAGTAGACTAGAATTTAAACCAAACAGTATCAAATCAAATTAGCTGTTTTTTAATTGAATAAAAAATTTCACATTAATTTATTTACTCATACTAATCATACTACATTTAATTTATGAAATTTTAGTGTTTATTGACATTGGAGATGAGTATACCACAAACTTTAATTTTCTTCTTTAAGGCAATCCTAATTTTGAATTATGATGAGTAACAAATATATATTTATTTTATACATTTATAGGTGTTCCGATAGTCAATGTATATCTGCTTCTCAAAGATGTGATGGAAAATCCCATTGCACTGACAATAGTGATGAATATGATTGTGAAACATTAATGACTTGTAATAATGATGATTTTCGTTGTAATGGTTCATACCACTGTATTTCTTCGTAAGTGTTAAATTTAATTAATCAAATGATAGTATTTATTATAAATATTTAATGAATGCTTTGCTAAACATATTTAAAAGTTTATTTTTAGGACTGATGATTAAAATAATGTTTCCAAAATACAAATATTCTAATTTAACAAGTATATTATTGTACTTTTTTATTAATTTTATTAAAATATCTTGGTACATATTTGAATAATATTTAAAAAAAATTTAAGCACATTTACCAAAAATTACATAATTATTAACTTAAAAGGTTAACTACTCATAGAGGACAAGTTACCAAAATGTTTTTATTTTTTAATCCATATATTATATTAAACAAGCTTTAATTTCAAATAATTTAGAATAATGCAAGTACTTATAGAGTTACTTAATAAAATATTATGAAATTTGATATTTTTTTCTGAAAATTATATGGTTTTTTATTTTAAAGCACAATAACATAGAAGTTGTGATATCAGATAGTTTTGTTTTTTTATCCTAAGGTATATTGAATTAGTTTTAATTTAATTTAGTTTATTTGCACAAATGTTTATACCCCGTCCAATTTTCTCTCCTTTTGTACTTCTACCATACTTTGAATTGCTTTTTCTTACTTTCTGTGATTTTTTTAACATCCTCATCCCACCATCAGGTTTCCTTGTTTCCTGACATTCTACGCCTACTCTCACCAACAATCTCCTTTGCAGTATTCTTTACACAACTAGCAAATCTATTCCACACATCATTTATGTCTCCCTCGATATTCCACACTGTCTTATTCATTTTTTCCTTTCAATTTTTCTCCTGTGTTCTTTCTGTTTTTGTATATTCTCTTCCCACTACACCATATTTCCATTACCATCAGTCTATGTTGTGTAGTTACTCTCTCATCTGGTATAACTTTACAATCTTTTACTCGCTTCACACTCTCTCTCTTCCACATAAAATAATCAATCTATGATCTATTACTCCCACTCTTATAAGTTATATAATGTTCTTCCTTCTCTCTAAAATAAGTATTAACCACAGCAAGATTATATGATACTACAAAATCCAGGATTCTTTCTTCAGTCTCAATCTTCCCACTAAAACCATACTCTCCATCTAATCTTTCATATTCTCCTTTCTTATTGTCTACATGTCCATTCATATCACCACCTATCATCTCATCCTCTTTGCCTGGTATTCCTTGCATCATCTCTCTCCAAAACACTTCCTTGTCTATTTCATCACATCCTACTTGTGGTACATAGGCACTTATTACATTCAACACATTTTCTTCTAAATTAATTTTACGACTATAATTCTGTCACTTTTCTTAGCTACTTCTACTACTTTACTTTTCATATCCTCATTCATTATAACCCCTACACCTTTCTTTCATACCTGAGTATATTATTTTATAACTCTCACCTATTTTCCTTACTTTTTCTCTCTTCCACTTAGTTTTTTGCACACAACCAATGTTCACTTTTCTACACTTTAATACTTATACTATTAGTTAATGTTCCAACAATAAAATGAAATATTAATTTAAAACTAAAAAATATTTTACTTAACAAGCCATAAAACCACTAAAAATCGTGGTTACTTATTTGGGAACAATACAGAGGTCTCAATATACGTATCTCCAATTTTTAGCTTTGATGCGAAACTGAGATGGTATTGGATTTACTATGATGTTTTTTTTTTTTTTGTGTCTGTTACCACTTTTTCTCAGCTCTCACTGAACCGATTTCTTTCAACAATACATTAAAGATCACAAATCGTATCTAGTCAAAGATATTACTCTCAAAAATTTTAAAAAATTTTCCTCGTGCCCTGTAAATGGGGGAAATCTCAAAAAAAATTACAAATTTAAAAATTGCTAATTTTCAAAAAAAAATTTCAATTTTTTTTTTTTAAACTGCCATAACTTAAATGCTATAACTTTTTGAAAATGTATAGATCAATATAATTTCTTTTTTTATATAGATGCATGATATATTTACCTATCATTTGATTTATTTTTTTTATAAATTTGACCCTTAACTTGCCTACAGGGAAGGATTCAAAATGACAACTTTTTCAACTTAACTTTTGAAAATGTTCCGGAAATACTGACACTTTTATATTTATCTTAAACTAAAGTTTATATAATATTTTTTAATATGAAAAAAAATTTCGACTTTATTTTGTTTTCATGGTAATAACAAACATTAAATTTAATGTAAAATAAAAAATGTTGTAAAAAAATTCATTTTTAATTTTATAATGCTATAACTTATTGAAAAGTGTATGGTTCAACACAATTTTTTTATGAGAAATAATAGTTATATCCCTTTTTCATTTGACATACTTTATCTTAATCAGGATATAAATAACGAAATAGCAAATCATGTAGCTTCTGGAATAATCCACCAATTTTTTAAAATTAAACACTATATAAAGATTTGTATTGAAACGTTATTTATGATATTGATTTTAATCTCTGTCAGATATCATTATACTTAATCCAACTATGCCACGTCACCACTGTGCCGCGACTTTTTTTAAAGCTTTTGTGACTTTTTGAGTTCAAATTTTTAATATTTTTTTTGTTTCAAATTAATATTTTTATTTAAAATAATATTAGCAACAAATAATCAATTTTTATTAAATGATAATGATAAATAAATAAATAATTTAGAAAATGGCGATGTGATGGAGATCAAGATTGCCCTGATGGTTCAGACGAGTGGAATTGTACTGATAAATTAGGAAAAGGTTGCTCTATCAATCGTAGTGGTCAATTTGTTTGTAACAATGGTGATTGTGTATCTTTGGGTTCAAGATGTGATGGTGAAGAGGATTGTTCTGATGGTAGTGATGAAAATAGAACTATGTGCGCATTAGTAGCTTGTCCACCAGGAAAGTATCGTTGTAATAATGATAACTGTGTGTTCAACACAAATATTTGTGATGGAATAAATCACTGCGGCGATGGCTCTGATGAAACAAAAACTGCTTGTAAGTAATACATATCTTAAATAACAGATCAATAAATTGTATATAATATCAACCATTGGTAATATAAATATTTTTTAAATATTCAATACATCTGATATAGTAAAATGATTGATAGGCAATCTTGATCCAATAATGTTTTGAAATTTTATTTATGTGAAGCATCACCCGGCACTGGATGAATGATATAACTATTGAAGATATATTCAAATTTTTTGAGCTAAATATTTATAATTCTTATGTATCATGTTAGCGTGTACATGTTCCATTCGGGTCAATCCATGCCAAATCATCCAGAAGTGGTTGCATGATCACCTCATATTTTTCTGAAATTTTCAGGGTTTATTCATTATGCTATATTTAGACTAAAACCATTTTTTTTCTTTTTATATGATCTTCCCATTTTTATGGCTATTTCAATGTAAAAAAAGTTAAAAATATCTAGATCTTTAAAAAACACACAGATTATTCAATTACAACTCAATCTAATTAAAATTTTAGATTTGACCCTATTATAACTTAAAGTTTACATTAAAAAAAAATTAATGTGAAATTCTAAACTTTAATGACTTTCAAAAAATGGCGCTTTTTTATGAAAATTGGTTTTGAGCTCACTTAAAACCATTAAGAAGTTATTATTTTATTGTGATTTTTACATGTGGTATTGTATAGTGTATAATCTATGTTTCAACTAAATTTCAAATATTTAAAACAATTATCTTGGGATTTAGAGGCCTACAAAGTTAGAAATTTTATAAAAATATGTGTATTCTAAGTGCAATATCTCTGTTGGGGGACCTAATTTTCAAAAAAAAATTTTTAATTTAGTAGATATATATCTGCTTTATACACCATAAAAAATTGAAGTTTGAGAAAAATGTGTAACATGTAAAATTTAGCATTAAAAAATCAGTAAAAATCAAATAATATAATGACAGTTTTTTGTTGTTTTCAAACCACATTTTTGTAAATTTTTTATATATCATTGTATATGTAATATATTATAATTCAATATAATTAGACACATTATAAATATTCAATTCATTATTTAAGTTGGAAAATGAAAAATAAATAAATAAAATTATTATGATAATATTGTAAAATATTTTAATAAATAATCATGATTTTTCTAGTTGTTAGAATATTGTGTCTTCATAAATGTCAGTTAATGATATCTTAAGACTTCTTATGGTATTGTTATTAATTGATAAAAATCTGTGATTTTCTTTATTCCCGGGAATACTTTTACATAATTTAAATCCCATATTAGGTGTTTTGTTGTACTTCTGATATGGGTATATTAATGTATTTTATCTCTTTAATTTTGATTAATTTTATTTATTTGAAATTTAGTTGAAACATAGATTATACACTATACAATACCACATGTAAAAATCACAATAAAATAATAACTTCTTAATGGTTTTAACTGAGCTCAACACCAATTTTCACAAAAAAGCGCCATTTTTTGAAAGTCATTAAAGTTTAGAATTTCACATTAATTTTTTTTTTAATGTAAACTTTAAGTTATAATAGGGTCAAATCTAAAATTTTAATTAGATTGAGTTGTAATTGAATAATCTGTGTGTTTTTTAAAGATCTAGATATTTTTAACTTTTTTTACATTGAAATAGCCATAAAAATGGGAAGATCATATAAAAAGAAAAAAAATGGTTTTAGTCTAAATATAGCATAATGAATAAACCCTGAAAATTTCAGAAAAATATGAGGTGATCATGCAACCACTTCTGGATGATTTGGCATGGATTGACCCATTCTCCCAGAGACCTAGACCTATTAAAATAACTTTTACAATATCATACATTTCCTAATCAAAAGTAACTGAACTCCATTTTGTAATTTGATTGCACCAAAAGTCATCTTGATACTATTCAAAAAGAACATCATGAACTAAATAAAATTATTTATTATGATCATAATGCAAAATATAGTGATTCTAATGAAATATTAAGCTTCTTTCATAAATATACTCTAAATAATAATTATAAAATGTTCGACTGCATATTAATCTTAACAAAACTATTTTTTAATTCTCATAAAATTTTCTATTTAATTATGTCAATTTTAAACTTGAAAATTGAGCTAAAAAAAAGTTATTGTAAAAAATTTAACCTTATTTTATTATAAAGTGACATAAAAATCAACTGTAGAGAACCAAAAAAATTACATTTTACATTGATTATTCTTAACATATTAAAAAAAAAATTAAAATCAATAATAATTTGGAAACAAATTTTTTTTTTTTGTGTGTTATTATTTTTAGCTTCAATTCGAAGTTTAGAAGGTATTAATTTTACTATAATTTGTTTATTTTTTTTTGTGTGTGTCTGTTACCACTTTTTCTCAGGTCTCATCAAACCGATCTCTTTCAACGATACGTTAAAGATCACAAATCATATCTAGTCAAAGACATTACTCTCAAAAATTTCCCTCGTGCCCTGTAAATCTCCAAAAAATTACAAATTTAAAAAACGCTAATTTTCAAAAAAATTTCAATTTTTTTTTCTTAAAACTGCCATAACTTTTTCAATAATGGTTATATCAATATAATTTTTTTTATAAATGCACAATGTCTACCATTTGATATATTTTTTTTATAAATCTGACCCTTTACCTGGCCACAGGAAAGGATTCAAAATGACAATTTTTTCACAAAAAATTAACTTCTGAAAGTGTTCTGGAAATACTGACACTTATATTTATCTTAAACTAAAGTTTATTTAATATTTTTTAATATGAAAAAAAATTCCGACCTTATTTTGTTTTCATGGTGAAAACAAACATTAAATTTAATACAAAAAATTTGTAAAAAAATTCATTTTTATATTTTAATTTTATAAAATTATTCTTTTGAAAAATGTAAGGAACAATACAATTTTTTTATGAGAAATAATATTTATATCCCTTTTTCATTCGATATACTTTTTTTTTTAAATAGGACTTTAAGTAGAACTTTTTCAGTATAAATTTTAAAGATGTTCCGGAAATACTGCGTTCTTTAAATATATGTTAAATTAAAGTTTATGTTACATACTACAAGTAAAAAAAAAAAAATTTGTCGTGACTACTTGTCTCCCATGTGCTCATAGATGTCATAGATAAATTAAATTTTATATTTTTGACATACTTTTTTCTAAATTAGATCATTTTCTTTTATACAGAGAAAAAACTATTTCATATTGCATTTTATTTTGAGAGGAGGAAATGTGGACCTCGATAGTTAGACCCCAAGCGACACTTTTAAAACACAAAGATAAATTACCTCAATGCCCAGCCATTATAAAAATTTCATGTGGGAATGTTTATTGTATTGTTTAAAACAGTGTGTTTCAATAATTATTATAAAAATAATAATACTACTCATTTCTGGTAAATAGTTGTGATTTAGTATTATAGTTAAGTTTATAATTTATTTAAATAAATACATTTTCAAAAATGTTTGATGATGGTGATTAAAATCACTATCATAAGAAACGATTTGATGCAAATCTGTAGATAGTGTTTAATTTTAAGAAATTGGTGGATTATTCAAAAAAAAAATTGTAACTCAAAAATAATTAAGAAAAAATTGCAAAAAATTAATTGCCACAGGTAATAATTTTTACTGAATAGGCAAACGTTCGTCGTATTCGTTTTTTATTAAATTGGCAATTTAAGCTAATTCATATGTTAAAATTACTTTTTTCGACTCAAAAGAAAAAAAAAATTGAAATATATTTAACTTTATATTCTATGTCAATTAATTTTATGTAATATTCATGAAAATCAGTGTATCCCATTATAAAGCATATAAATTAAAATACAAAACCTAAAATTTTAACTCAAAAATAGCATATTTTTTAATTCATTAATTTTTCAAAAAGTTATGGCAGTTTTAAGTATTAAAATATTAACACTTTAAACAGTGATTTTTACATAAAAATTATATTTTCATTAAATTCGACGCCCATCTTCCTATAGAAGAAAATGTGTCAGAAGAATTTTTTTTTTAACTTATAGTATTTATCACAAGCTTTAATTTGACATATAATTAAAGCTCGAATTTTTCCGGGAAATTTTCAAAATTTAAGCTGAAAAAGTTCTACTTTTTACTCGTATTTTTAAAAATTTGAACTTCCCTTGTATAAAAGAAAATGGTCCTATTTAAAATAACAAGTATGTCAAATGAAAGGTATATATATAATTTATTTAGAAACAAAAACTTGTATTAATCCATACATTTTTTCAAAAAGTTATAGTAATTTTAAGTTGAAAAAATTAAATCTAAAATCGAAAATTTTAACACCAAAATTGCTTTTTTTATCTACAGCAATCATTTTCACAGATCACCATTAAAAAGTAGTGACAGACACAAAAAATAAATACATCATGGTAAAATAGCATTGAAGCTAACAATGTCCTTTATTGTTCAAACTTTTTTTCAAAAATAGTTATCTTTTTTTATTAAGGTATGATAGCCAGTCAAGTATGTGATGTTACTAAGTTTAAATGTGAAAGTGGCCAATGTATTAACCGACGACTTCATTGTAATGGCCATTATGATTGTATTGATGGATCAGATGAATTGTTTTGTAATATAACTAAATCACCATGTCAATTTGGTACATGTTCTCAAATTTGTGAACCCAAAAAAAACTTAACACATTCTTGTCACTGTGCATTTGGATACAGTTTATCTTTACCAAATAAGTCATGTCAAGCAATTGGTATGTTTGTAGTTTATAAAATTTAGTTTTCCTTTTTATCTATTTTTGAACAATATTTTAGGAGCACCAGCATTATTAGTTGTTGCTAGCAATGAAGGAGATATTTACTACATTGATCCATATAAATCGCATGAAAATTTTTTCAAGTATTCAGCAGTTATGTTACCAGCTCATAAAATGCATTCAATAGATATAATGTGGTCAGCTAATCTATCTTATCTATTTTGGAGTGACCATAACTCTAAAGCACTGTATTCTACTGTTTTGGAAAATCCAGTCAAAAAGTCTATTCGAATGACTCCCGATATTAATACTACCAAAGCCGTTGTAAGTTATAATCTAATTTATATAATTTTATATGAACATATTATAAATTTCATTGAATGTTATATTCTAAGGAATATTTTCACATAATATAATGAATAGGAATAGATATTATCCATGGCTGTATAAACTTTTAAAATAAATCATCTTTTTTATTTAATTTTTTTTAAGACAGTGTAAAAAATGTTATTTTAAAGTATAATAACATTTTAAATAAAACCCATATAATTATATATAAAATGACGGTAACAGTTAAAAATAAGTTTTTGGCCAAAGCTCACTATGTACACAAAACTATATAAACACAATTTTTTTGTTACAATTTTTACATGTATTGTGAGGGATTTCAAAGTGGATTCCAAATCTGTTTTTAGAATTTGTCTATCACATTTAATGTTAGGTAATTACACAGTTAATTCATAAAAAACATATAAATTTTATTTTATTTTAACTTTCCTAAAATGATTTTACATTATTTATGCAAAAATTTCACAATCTTTTCTTAATAGTGATTGAATGGTTAAACTTGAAAACAATTATCCTGATTAAAAGTTTTATGATTTATAAGTGTAATATATGAATAAATAAATATCTATATATATTTATAATGTATAAAGATATAATATGTAAATATATAAAGAGAAATGATGATATTTAAAAAAAAGTATGTCGAATGAAAGATATCCCTCTTCTCTTTAAATATTATTTCTCATAAAAAAATGTAATGATCCATACATTTTTCAAAAAGTTATAGCAAAATTAAGTTAAAAATTTAAAATACAAAATCGAGAAATTCCTACAAATATAGTATTAGGTAGCCATTTTTCATCATGAAGACGAAATAAGTCCGAATTTTTTTTTTTTTTATATATATAATAATGTATATTACATTAGCTCTAATTTAGGTATATATAAAAGTGTCAGTATTTCCGGAACACTTTCTAAAATTAAGTTGAAAAAGTTCTACTTTCTATATGTATTTTTAAGTTTTTAACCCCCCTTTATGCAGGAATGGTTCAAAACTACCCTTTTTTAAAGTGAAATGGTCCGATTTAAAAAAAAAGTATGTCGCATAAAAGAATTATATTAATAGTAGTTATCACAAAAAAATTATAATGATCCAAACATTTTTCAAAAATTTATATAAATACAAAGTTAAAAATGTAAAATATAAAATCGAAAATTTTAACACAAAAATAGGTTACGGTAGCCATTTTCACCGTGAAGACAAAATAAAGTCCGAAATTTTTTTTTACCATAATAAAGTATATTACATTAGCTTTAATTTAAGATATATATTAAAGTGTCAGACCTTCCGGAACATTTTCAAAAGTTAAGTTAAAAAAGTTAATTTTTTATAAAAAAAAGTTGTCATTTTAAAACCCCCCCTGTGGGCAGGTTAAGTGTCAGATTTACAAAAAATATATACCAAATAATAGATAAAAATATCAAGCATCTATAAAAAAAAAATTATATTGATATGTTCATTTTTGAAAAAGTTACGGCAGTTTTTAGTAAAAAAAATTGAAAACATTTCGAAAATTAGCGATTTTTAAATTTGTAATTTTTTTGGAGATTTCGGCAATTTACGGGGAACGAGGGAAATTTTTGAGGGGAATGTCTTCAACTAGATACGATTTGTGATCTTTTGACATATCGTTGAAAGAAATCCGTTCGGTGAGAGCTGTGTAAAAGTGGTAACAGACACAAAAAAAAAATTAAATAATAAAAAAAAAACACATCATAGTAAAATTAATCAGCTGTCCTCATAACGAATTCAATAGCATCCCTCCATATCTTCTTTGGTCTTCCTCTACCTCTTCATCATTCAGCACTCTTTTGCACAACTGATCCTAAATACTTAAAACTCTCCACCTCTGCAATCACGTCCTCGCCTAATGTCACTGACCTCCTCAGTTCACCTACCTCGTGTTCTTCTTTGTCAAACTCGTACTCTATATATTCTGTCTTACTTCTACTTATTTTTAAACTCTTTTTTTAACACCTCTAGCCTTTGATTAATTTCCTCCCTATTTTCTCCTATTAACACTATATCGTCAGCAAACAACATGCACCATGGCACCTCTCCTTGTATTTCTCTAGTAATTTCATCCATCACTATAGAAAATAAGTAAGGGCTGAAAGCAGAATCTTGGTGCATTCCTACTCTTATCCGAAAACCTTCTGATACTCCTCCTACGCTTTTAACCCGGGTACAAGTGCTATCATATATATCTTCTATTGTATTAAATTATTAAATTATATTATACAAATATAATTAAATAAGGATACAAATTCCATTTGTATAAATGGAGTATCAAATATACAGAGTGTAATGTATGGTTATACTGATTATGATGTAACCTATAAAATATGTTAAGTATGTATCACTCTCTTGTCTGTTAAGCAGATGTTTAATCATTACTTTTTAATACAAATGTTCTCTACTATCAATTATAATTAATTTGTCTTTATTTAATATTATATTTAATAAAGTATATAAGTAATTAAATATATAAATGTTCAAATCAGAATCATAACACAGGGTGATCAAAATCTGGCAAGACACTTATTTTCTCAGAAAATGTTGAGAATTTTAAAAGTTTTGTAAAGAAAAAAAATAACAGGTCAAAAAAACTACAATAATCTGTAATCATGCTTTTTTTTTGTCACTTCAATGATAAAAATTCCTACTAATAATTTTCTTAAATAGGAATCCTTATTTTTAACTTTACATGATGGGAATAAAAAATTACAGACAACTTTGTTTTTATAATTTTTTTTATTCAATTAACTATTTGCTTTTTACATTTGTTTAAAGATTTGGATATAAAGTAAAAATTCTTTATTGATTTGGTTCTATAATACTGATGGCAGTGCATCTGGTATTATTTCTGCCACCATGATGATAATAATCTGTTTTAATAGCCTTAAAATTTATTTTTATGGTTGTTATTAAGAAAAAATTTCCACACTGGTCTATTGTCAAAGAATATTTTAAATTGGTTTATGCGGTAGTAAAGAAAAATAATGACTTTTGTAATCAAATCAGTACAATAACAATGGAAATTTTCCCTATTATCACTTAACTTTAACAGGCTGTAACCAATTAATCACGAAAAAAAATGTTTAGAACAAAGTTGTTTTTGACTTCTGAAGTATAAATTTTTCTTATTTCAAATGTGTCTTAGCTTATGAATTTGTTTTCTACTGATTATATTTTGTACAAACATCAATAATATCAATGTTTCCTGTGTTAAATATATAATTGTTTATTAATGTGTAATAACTAACAATAAAGTTGTTGGGGATGGTATTAATAAAGATGAATAATAATGACATCATCTGTAAAGACATAATAGATACAAGTACTTTGTTTCTAGTTATTACAAGTGGCGCCCAACGTGGGGCTCGACTTGTAATAACCAAAAGAAAGATAGAAAAAGTCGTAGTAGTAAAGGGGGATTATACATAAAGGATAATATTAAGATCTAACGGTTATTACTTAATAAATGTAGTTAGTGTATTAAAACTACTCTTACCTGATATTCACTGATGATGAATGAATCTTGAGTGTAGATTTATGGTTGCTAAGAATATATTTAAAACTATAGTAAGTGTGTTAATAAACGAGAATCGTACTTGGTTAACAGAAGCGTATTTATTATTGTAGAAAATGTTAGTTATTTTCACAAATGTATATTTTAAGTTTAGTGTCAAAAGTTAATATTATAGACTCACAGTATAAAGAATATGCCAAAGTAAGTAAGAAATAATCTTAAAGATTTAATTCGATAAAAGCGATTATTAAGTAAGAGAAAAATAAGCGAGTGACTGACTGGAAAAACAGTGTCTTCAGCCTTTATATAATGTACCACAAAAGTCATAAACGGGGATTGGGCGTCTTGAATGTGTCATACTTTTTATAGGCACATTCAGTCATCATTCCATATTTCAATAAACGCAAAATAATTATTATATTTTAATTTCCTTTTTTTTTAGTACTTTAGTGGTGCCTGGAAGACGGCATGAAAGACAATGATTCACGTCTATTTTATAGTTACCCAAAAGTTATACCATATGTGTAATCGTGTTAGCATATTCTTTTCTGTGGTCTTAGAAATACAAGAGGTATTGATTTTAGTAATATTCCAAAGGAGAATATTACAAATGTTTAGTTAGAATTCTTGTTTCATTAACCATACCATTAAATTCTGTTATTCTTGTACACTTGATAATGGCTAAAGTCAAATTAAGTTACTACTTAGATACTACAAAATGCTTATTTATTGTGTATAAATAATATATATACATACAAAGTTTACCATAAACCGCTTGATTACTGGCAAATAAAAACAATGTTGGGAAAAAAAATTATGGAGAAGGTGGAAGTGGCACAACTGCAAAAGAATTAATAAAATGCTGAACTTCTTAAAAACACCGACAAGAAAGACTAATTTATCATCAAGAGTTTCATTCATGGCTCGAACAAATTTTAAAAAAAGGTTAAGGAGTCAAGAGGTCTAGCAGATAGAGCTTATAGTTCATGGAAAAAGAAATTAATTAACGGCCTTGATTGCACGGTAGTGCCGGAAATCAAGCTTGTGCAGAATAGTCATAAACTTGACTCAATTATTACGGCGAATGTTGGTAAAGTGTAGAAAAGTCGACCACTAATAAATTGGCATTATTACGGAATTCAAAATAATTCAAAAAACCATCAGAAGAGGGGAAATGTATTATCATAGGTTGAAGTAATTAAAATAAAAAGACGAAAATTAATACAGTTAAAAAGAAAGCGCCGGCAATAATGATTAAGACTGGATCGCTATCTTATGTTGAAGCTCTTATGAAGATTCGGGCTGACCAATTTTAAAACGAGTATTCCTAGGATATCAATGCAATGAGACTGAAACTAATCATCTTTTTGGGGAGGGAAATGGAGATTCTATGCATATTAATCAAATCTTCTTTTAGCTTCGATGCGAAGCTGAGAAGGTATTAATTTTACTATGATGTGTTTTTTTTTTTGTGTGTGTGTCTGTTACCACTTTTTCTCAGCTCTCACCGAACCGATTTCTTTCACCGATACGTCAAAAGATCACAAATCGTATCTAATCGAAGACATTACCCTCAAAAATTGAAAAAATTTCCCTCGTTCCCCGTAAATGGGGGAAATGTCAATATTTTTTTATAAATCTGACCCTTAACCTGCCCACAAAGGGGATTTAAAATAAAAATATTATATAAAACTTTAATTTAGTATTAAATTATGTTGCCAAAAACTGTTTTGTGCGATAATAACTGGTGTCTTTGCACTAGTCATATAATTTTTTTTTATGAGATACAATAAAAATATCTCCGTTGAAACTTGAACTAATTCTTATAAAAAAAATTTGAATTATTTAAAAATTAAAGATTTTTGTTTTTAAATTATAAACCTGTACCTTTTAATTATTCTTTATTCATGATTTTCATTTCTTTTATTTGTAGATTCAAACAGTTGGTAGCCCAGAAAGTATTGCTGTTGATTGGGTGTCAAAGAATTTATATTGGATTGAAATTTCTATTCGTACTAAGATTATTAAAGTAGCAACAGTTGAAGGGAAAACTATAAAAACATTAATTAAGTTGGAATCTGATCGAAAACCTCAGAATATTGTGTTAGATCCTCAATCTAGGTATGTTTTTCTAAAACTATTTTTTTTATGTTATAATAGGTCATCTATTGGTTTCTTTAAAGTAGATAATTTGAAGCTGTTAATATTTTGCTTTAAAACGTTTATTTCTTATCTGAGAGGAAATACATTATTGATCTCTCATTTAACATATCAATTTGATGAATACACCACCCCTAATTTTTATAACTTTAAATAAAATTGAAAACAAAAATTGCATTTTGTTTTTAAACGCCTTTATGATTTTTATTTAACATTATTAGTTATTATATGTTATTTTAATTAAATAATTATTGCCAATTAATTTTATAATTTTAATAAATAAATCAGTAATTAGATGTTAAATAAAAAAGATATATAGAGAAATTAAAGCAAAAATGATGTGATTCAATTTTAATAATTTTTCAGGAGTGTAATTTAAATTATTTTAATTTCATAAATACTAGTAAAAATTTCAATTTTGAAAATGAAATGATATAGCTATACGGAGAGATTTTTTTTATCAAATTTTACTGAATTACTTAAAAGATAAAATAATTTAATCATTTTTAGCTTCTATGCAAAGCTGAGAAGGTTTTAATTTTATAAAGATATTTTTTAAATTTATGATTTATATAGCAACATGTTACGAACAAATTTAGAATGTTATAGACTGGTAGTAGCACACGCAAATAGAGTAAAAAAATTAATAAATTGCAAAGTACAATTATATTATATCAAATCTAATTCGATAATAAATTCTTTAAAAATATTAGAAATGAATAATTTTAATTGTTTTTATGGTTAAAGTGGCTTAAGCTACTTGTTATTTGATCAAGGGATTTTTTTTCAATTTTTGAGGATAATATCTTCAACTAAATACGAATTGTAATAATTTGACGTATCGTTGAAAAAAGTATAACTTACTTTAGTTTTCCAACACTCAATTAACTATTGTGGGTTGGAAAAATAAATCGCGGCCTCAAAAAAAATACATAATCAAATAATATTAACATGAATAAAAAATTTCTTCTCACGAGGGGAGACTATAGTGATTGGATCCTTGATATTTATTGAAGTTGTTGATTCTTAATGAGATAAAAATCAAATAATTTGAACATTTTTTTCTAACTTAAAAAAAAAAAATGCAAATTTTTATTCGCCACAGGCGGATTCGAACCTCTTACCCTTAGCATGAAAGACACAAGTGTTACCGAATCGGCAACTGTTCGTCGCATGATAAAATTAGGAATTTAAGCTAAGTCAAATTTAAAAGTTACTTTTTCGACTTTAAAAAAGCAAAAAATTTTAATTAAGTTTAATTTCTTATGTCTTATGAACTTCATTCTATGTCAATTAAATTATATAATATTCACGAAAGTCAATATATTCTCCTAATAAGATATTTTAAAATAAAATAAAATACAAAACCCAGGATTTTAACACAAAAATAGCAAATTTTTGAATACGGTAGCCATTTGCGCGTAGAAGATAGATCGTCGAGACAATTTTTTTTTTCAATTTACATAAAGTATATAAAATAAGCTATTCAAATTTTATTTCTGTTGTTAATATCAAAGAAATTCTAAATTTGAAAACATTTAAATAAAATAATAATAATTTTATTCAAAAATTAACTTACACCACTTTCGCTTTAACTTTGTTCTCCATAGTGGTGAGCAAATATCAATTTCTGAGACTAACGATTTTTTCTGATTTGCCGGTTGCTACTATTAATTGTCCTCAATAGTTTAAAAAATATATATATATATATATTTAAATATCTTGTTATATACTTTCAAGAAAGCTACTTGTTATGATGATCTCATCACACAAAAATTACTAAATAAAATAAACATTTTTAATTATGCTAATTAGTTTAATTTTGTTAAAATTGAAAACAGACAATAAATATGGGTTTTTTAATTACAATATTATTTTCTTAATCTATGAATTACACGGTGAATAAACCGATATTTAAAAATAATTTTTTTATATATACCCATGCACACGTAAGTAAATAAAAATATCGATAACTATCAATAGTACCATGGCGTGGCATGATGCAGATTATTCAGTCGCCGCCCTATCGCTGATATTCAGTTGTTAATCCCCGGATGGATTAACTTTTATAGTACACACACCTTGCCCTAATGGGGATGAAGATAATCTATAGTTCACCGGTTCAATGTTACATACGTGTTAACTATAGCCAGTTATTTTATCACGATTTTGTTCTATAGCTATTGAAAACTTTCACATATGAAAAAATCCACAGGTAATAAACATCACAAAAAAAAAAAAAAAAACACAACCAGCGACAATAGTTCACCAGGTTCTTTCATAAGTTAACAGACAAAATAAAAGGCTATAAAAAATATATAAATCACCGAACCAACTTTACTAAAGCCAGCTGTGGAGTCTTACGTGCACTCGGCATACTTTTCAGAAGTAATGTACATAGATTCGCAATTAAAAGTTATAGCTACAATTATAAAACTTCAAGAAAGTTAACACTATGCAATTTATATTTGATAAACTAACACATCTTAAAAAGACATTAGAAACATACTAAACAAACTACCATCCCTTAATATTCTAATAGGAGACTTCAACGGCTATTATTGTGGTCGTTGAAATGGGAAAGTAGCAATATTAGATATTAGAGGCAAATTAACAAATCAATCATTAAATAATATTTCACTAATCAATAATGGATACTATCCATTTCATCTCAACTTCCGATACAGATTCATGCATTGACTTAACAATATCTTCTACATCATTACTACATAGCATACAGTTGAAAACTACTATTGAATGTAGTAGGCTGTCTATTTGTAGTGACCACTAGCCAGTAAAAATAACTATATCTTATAAAAACACATACATCACAAAAAAAAAAACGAAAAACAAAATGGAATATTAAAAAAAAACAGACTAGATTCTTTACCAGACTAGAAATTTATACATTTTACGAAAACAGCACTAACATCAGTGATAATTTGGTTTCATTAAACATCTACCACCTAACGATTTGAACTACATCTGTTGACACAAGGGCTCTTTTCTCAAGCAGTTGACCCCTGTTTGTCTTTAAGCCATATCACAAAATTTGATTATGTCCTACATAATATACAACACATATATAAATATGCCGTATAGGCCTCAATTCCATCAAATCATATAAAATCTAATCCAACTGTTGAATACACAACTAATTCTCCCTTCGATTATGTAAACACCTTGTCACTTATGATCAATCTTATGGACCACGCAATCCTTTTATTTTACTTGTTTTTAACAAAAAAAGCCAAATACATCTCTAACAGAATAAAAACCGTACATCACTAATCAATAGATAATATGTAACAGGTTTTGTAGCTTCTCTTAAAAGATAAGGCTTTTAACCGTTTAACCTCCGGGACAAGAGGTTTAGTCAGTCGCCCTAAAGAGAAATGACGATTCCAATTACTAAACTGATCCTCGCTCAGCAAATGAAGCCGCCCGTGCCCGAGTCACGAACTCTAAACAGTGTACCCCATGAGTAGGGATATCATTTTTTTTTTCGCAATATTAATGTATCGATTTTTAATTTTCAAATCGTCGATACTAGCAATATCGGAAACTTGAAAAAATCAATGCCAAAAAACTAGATGTAAATGTATAAACATTAATATATTGGAGAAAAATCGATATTTGTATAAATTTAATTAAAAAAAATTAAAATAATAAATAATTATTTCTTACTGCAAGACAAGTTAGATATATTGGATGTTTTGAATACAAATTGAATGGGATTATTAGCAGTTAGTGGTTGATGTTAACTACTTAAATGAACGTTCGATATACAATACAAATAATTTTTTGTTGATGTATTCTTAGTGTTAAAATTAAATTTTTAGGTTGTGGTATTTTTTCCAATTGAAGCTAGTTACATTCTCTTTGTACATAAAAAAAATTTAAAAAAGGTTAACATCAAAATATCAGTATAATTATACATCGATTCAAAATATCAAAATATTAACATCGATATCAAATATCGACTGTTTTTAGTGAACAAATTTTAATATCATCCATCAGGTACAGACTCAGCCAAACCGTCATTTTTCACTAGACGCTTAACAACAAAATTCAATTCGAACCTGATCCATAAGTGTTTGACAATAAATTATAACTTTTATTTTTTTATTAATATAGTTATGAGGTAAAGCCCAATTACATTATGAACAATTATAAAATAATTATCAACTGCCTTAATTAAATTATTTTATTAATGAACAAATCTTATACTTTAAGATACAAAATAGTTTTTAATTTAAAACGAAGAGAACTTTTTTTTTTTTTTTTTTTGAGTCAGTAGTATTAACCATATGCAAANAATTTTTAAATTAACAATTTAACAGTTAAAACTTAAAGAACTTTTTTTTTTTTTTTTTTTGAGTCAGTAGTATTAACCATATGCAAAAGACAGTTTACTGGTGAATTTAAAATGTAGCTAGTAATCAATCAAGAAATATGGCATTAAAATTATTTTCGAAAAGTAAGCCAGGACAATCTATATTATTATTTAAAATATTTTTTAAAGAAGGATTTATTATAAGATAATCTACAATTAGAAAGATTATCTAATTGAAGTATTATTTGAAAAATGAATAATCACGTGGAAAACAGTGAATAACGCTAGAGGAGTATGCCAGTTAGTAAAATATTCTCTGTACTTTAATCATTAAGCTGACGATTGCAGAGGATGGTTCTCAAAACACAAAACTATACTTTAATATTGTGCATACAAGTCTAAAGTATAACAATTTAATGGGCCTTAATAAAAGGAACTCTTTAGAAATGCTATGAATAAACCCTAAAATTTTATTAGATTTGCAACATATATTTTGTATATGCCGAGAAGGACAAAAAGACTCAAAATAAATCCTAGATCATGCATATGATCTCCATTAGAATCGAGCAATTAACAGTTATATAAAGAAATTGGCCTTAGATTCAATAGTTTGCAATAATAGTAGATGATAAAAAAGAATACAGTTAAAATAAATAAAAAAGTTTTTGGTTATTCATGATTTTTTTTATAAATTGACAAATTGTATTTTATTATATAAAACATTGATCCATTTTTTTACAAGTATTACATTATTAATATAATTTTTTTTATTATTTCTTAATTCTAATGTATTTTTTTTTAATATTTTTAATATAGATTAAAATTTAAGCGTTTTTGTTTTACTTTTTTTTTGGTTCTTTTAGGTCAATGTTTTGGTCTGATCTTGGACGCAAACCTCATATTGAAATATGTTCAATGGATGGTCATAACAGACGAGTATTTGTTAGTGATTCTATTAGAAGTCCAGCTGGTTTGACAATAGATTATGCTGCTCGTCGTTTATATTGGTTAGATACAAAACCCTATATTATAGAATCAATTTCATTAGATGGAAAAGGCCGTAAAATTATACATAAGTTTTCTAAAGGTAACATTTTATTGAACTTCTGTTTTAAATAGTTTTTTTAAAAATTTATTTTTCATAAAAAATGATAAATTGTATCTTAATTTTAAATTTATTCCTTTTATTTGCAGTTTTAACTAATTGCTCAATCATATAAATATATTTTTTATTTCCAAAAGTAATGATTTTTAAAATTTCAAAATTCTGCATTTTAATATAATAAAATGCTTTTATTTTTGTGTTAAAAACAATCCCTAGTGAAAAAAATGATAATGTAATTTAATGAACTTATATCCTTGTATTTACCAATCCAACTAAAATAAATGTTCACTAATTTTTCTATTAAAAATAAAAAAACTTAAAATAGTGATCTCCAATTATAGTCCATTTATAAGCTATATGTAACATCATAGTTTTCTTATTAAGTTTATATAAATCAGAAGATATAATTTAAATACCTAACAAAAATCTATATAAAAACCAATATATTTAGGATCTGTTATTCTTTCCACCAAGTCAAGTTTGACTTAGTTGTTTTAATTGGATAATTTTGATTGAATTAAAAATAATTTGATTACATATTATTGTAGAAATTTCATTTCCCTTCAAAATAATTTAAAATATTCAATAGTTCCTAAGAAAAGAGTGTCTTATCCTTAATCTATCACTCTCTATTTTAAATATAAATTTTTTTTTTAATATTACAAGTTTTATATTGTAAGAATATTCTTGGTAGTTATGTTTATTGTTGACACAGGTAAACATCCAACAAATATTGAATTATTTGAAGATTTTATCTATGTAACTCTCTTAACCACAATTATACGAATTGATAAATTTGGAGACAAAAATATAACAACCTTGGCTAAAAATATTTTTAGAGCAACTGATTTAGCTATAATGCAAGAAAATAAATATCCCAAAAACAGTAAGCTGCATAAAATATAATACAAAGTACCTAATTTTTACTAAAAAAAAAACTTTACAGTTATAAATTTTTGTACTATTAATCCATGTCATCCAACGGCATTGTGTACTTTAAGTCTTAATCCAAAAAATCGTACATGTATGTGTGCTGATGATCAAATGGAAGTATCTACTATAAATGTAAGTTAATTTTTAAGAAAATTTTATTTACTACCAATAATATTTCTGAATTTTTTCTCAGGATATAAAATGTGTAGCTAAACAAACAGCATCGATTATGTGTGAACCTCCATGCTTAATGGGGGTGTGCATTTCTAATGGAACATCATCTCTGGGTTATTGCAAATGTGATCCATTCTTTACAGGAAATACATGTGATGTATATGCTTGTCATGAATTCTGTTTAAATGAAGGAATATGTTATGTAGAAACAGGATTAACTTCAGAAAATAACACATTAACCAAAGTAATTTTTTATAAAATTTAAATTTGTTAACTACATTTTAAAAGCTAATATTATTATACTCGTATTTATTTTAGTGTAAATGTTCTTCTAAATGGTCTGGAGATAGATGTGACATACCTATATCACAAAATGGTTGCTCGGGTGATTGCTTAAATGGTGGCAATTGTATAGATAATGCTTGTGATTGTCTCCCAGGATTTACTGGTAAGTTTCTATTTGATAGTAAATTGCAAAAAATTGTTTAATGTACTTACAGTTGTTCATCAGAAATTTCATTATAAAATTTATATGTATAGTGATTTAATTATATGAAATATAATCGAACATTAATATTTTAACGTTAAATCTTGCGAGACACTAATTTTAAAGTATATTCTTCTCAGAGATGGGCAAAAAGTAGCATAAGTAAAAAACTGTCTTCTTGATATATTTTTGTTCCTTTTTATTCTTATTCTATCTTTATTGAAATTATTTTATTAAAATAACGCTAATAAAATTATTTTTATTATATTTTCATTATTTTAACTTTTGAAATAAAAAATAGAAAAGGGTAAAAGATAAAATATGATAGAAGTATAATAATTGTAGCATAAACTTTGTGTTTTTAAGGTAAAAATTGTGAAAAATGTGTTAATATTGATTGCAAAAATGGTGGAGTTTGTATAAAATCTGATTCTGGACTTGGGGAATGTAAGTGTACCCATGGATATAAAGGAATATCATGTACTGAAACAGATTGTGATAATTATTGCGTACAGGTTAATCTTATATTAAACTTCAATTCAAAATATCTAATAATAAAATATTTTATATTTATAGGGAACATGTATGTTAAATATTGATGGACCTCATTGTACATGTCATGAAGGTTACACAGGAACACGCTGTGATCTTATTAAATGTATAGAAAATACATGTTTGAATGGAGGTAAACTATTACTTTTTACTTATAATCTCTTGCTATACAAATAAATATTTGTTTTAGTTCTCGAGTATTATAGCTTCTACTTCATTATACAAGAAGTTTAAAAAGGAAATTGGTTAATTGTTACAAACAATAGGCTACAGTAAAAAAAAATGTTTACATTTTCTTTTTTAAACTTCCAAATGAGATTATAATAGATCATACTAGAAACAATAAGATTTCCTTTGGTATTTCAGTTATTGAAAAAATTCTAGATGGTCTAACAAAATCTAACCTATATTAAATTAAAACTTTTGTACTACAATATTTAAAAAAAATTTGATCTTCTATGTGATATCAGACATTAAAGCAAAAAAAGCGTTATTTTCAATTAAACAAATAACTTAACTATCATTTAATATTCGAGTGTAATTTTAAATCATAAATATTATTAATAAAAACTATACAAATTATGAAATTAAACAGACTTTTATTAAAGTATTCTTTATGATAATGATGTTGTTAGATATCATCTATATATCTAGGTTTCAACTTTGCAGTGTCTCCTCTATGCTACGACCAGACTATGCTAGTTTTTTTTTTTTTTTTTACATCCTAAGTAAGAAATATATCCTATTTGTGATGTGAAATAAATATATCAAAACTTAAATTCCTCTAACTTAGAATAAAAACATTTTACCATCATAAGATATTGACTAAGTTTTCTTAGATCTGAAAATATTATTATTAAATTTATAATTAAAATTATTATTGATAATTATTTTGGACTAAATTTCAAGATTTATTCTGTAAAAAAAATATATTGAAAATTTAATAAAGATTATATTTTTTCATACATATTTATAGGGTCCTGTTATTTGAAAGATAATCATACTGCTTGTCTGTGTCCACCTCAATTCAAAGATCCTAATTGTCGAATCAATATATGTGATTGTAAATGTAATGACAATGACGATTTATGTCAAATTTATTGTCCTACTCGTAAATACCCTATGTGTCAACATCAATCTGATGTAACATCAAATATTTGTCATCCAGAAAAGTGTAAAAATGGTGGAGTTTGTGTTGTTGAAAATAGTCTAGCTACATGCAGGTAAGTAAATTATTCTGCAGATTTGTAAAATACTCAAAAATAAGTATTTATTTTTTTAAGAAATTAGTTTTGTTTTCATTATCCTAATTTTAATTAGGCCATACTATTATCAACAATTTATTTTATATAAATAATTTAATTATTATTTTATATTAATAATTTATTTTATATCAATGGCTTGTATTCAACAACTCATATATGTGTATTTTGATTTGTGTAAAATGAATGTTATCTATTATCTACCAAAAAAATGATATGCCTATTTTTTTTGGTAAGGTATATTTTTACACTTGAAAAAAGTTGATTTTCAAAAGATGCCATTAAAATTAAGATTTATTTTTTTTCTTAGAATATTGCTAAAATAAATATTAGCTTTTAGAAAATAGTCACAAATATATGTATAATTAGTTAGTTAAAATTATTAAAAGGGTGGGCATAGTCACTACATATACAAAACATTATAGTCCATTATGCACGTTTCATATAGAATATTATGATATTAATAGGTTTTTTGTCAAAGTATATTATAATTAGTTCCATGGAGCTTCACTGTTTTCACAAGCTTTTTTTAATTAAATTTCTGCTTTTACAAGATAATTCCAGTTTAGTCAGTAATAATACCTATCAGTGTTATTTCTCCTAAATTCTGCTTATTGACATCCCTTTTGTCTTTTTACTAATCTATGATTCATCATTAAGTGACTCACTGATTGTATGATTTGATGCCTTATTTATAACATTAAGGATTTTTATTTAACAATCTTCTATGGGGCATCACATTTTTTACTATTATTCTTACAGATTTTCCTTGATTGGGTCCCTGATTTTCACAAGATTATCCCATTTTATGGTATATCCATACTATTACCACAAGAAGATGAGAGAAATCTACCACAGCAAAGTTCAATATTGTGGTAGCCTAAATACTCAATGATGCCCTATTTCCATGTGTTCCCAAATGTTAACATCAGTTTTTGGTATACTACCCTGTTGATAAGTCTCTCTAATTTGATAAAAAGAGTAGAAGAAATTATTAACTATCTACATGCCTACCAGCCCTAAAAATTGGATAACAATATCCCAATTCTAACGGTTTATTTCATGTTCTTACCTAACAAGACTCACCCATAACTTTTGTGATTACTGCACTTCTTTGATTATATATAGGCAACTTGGCCATAGCATCACAGGAAACTTACAAAAATTCTTCAAGAATTAACAACATATTATATGAGAAAACAATTAACGCCAAACCTGGATAGAACACAAATATGTTTTTTCACCTACAATATCCAATCTAATGAAAACTAAATTTCCATTGTCATTGTACTGATTTAATTACAAAAGTCATTATTTTTCTTTACTACCGCATAAACCAATTTAAAATATTCTTTGACAATAGACCAGTGTGGGAATTTTTTCTTAATAACAACCATAAAAATAAATTTTAAGGCTATTAAAACAGATTATTGTCATCGTGGTGGCAGAAATAATACCAGATGCACTGCCATCAGTATTATAAAACCAAATCAATAAAGAATTTTTACTTTATATCCAAATCTTTAAACAAATGTAAAAAGCAAATAGTTAATTGGATAAAAAAAATTATAAAAACAAAGTTGTCTGTAATTCGATGCGAAGCTGAGAAGGTATTGGTTTTACTAAGATGTGTTTTTTTTTTTGTCTGTTACCACTTTTTCTCAGCTCTCACCGAACCAATTTCTTTCAATGATACGTCAAAATATCACAAATCGTATCTAGTCGAAGACATTACCCTCAAAAATTGAAAAAAATTCCCTCGTTCCCCGTAAATGGGGGAAACCTCCAAAAAAATTACGAATTTAAAAATCGCTAATTTTCTAAATTTTTTCAATTTTTTTTACTTAAAAGTGCCATAACTTTTTCAAAAATGAACATATCAATATAATTCTTTTTTATATAGATGCATAATATCATTACCTTTCATTTGGTATATTTTTTTTATAAATCTGACACTTAACCTGCCCACAGGGGGGGTTTTAAAATGACAACTTTTTTTTATAAAAAATTAACTTTTTTAATTTAACTTTTGAAAGTGTTCCGGAAGGTCTGACACTTTTATATATATCTTAAATTAAAGCTAATGTAATATACTTTATAATGGTAAAAAAAAATTTCGGACTTTATTTTATCTTCATGGTAAAAACAGACATTAAACTTAATAAAAAAAATACGATTTTTGTAAAAAAATTATTTTTTATATTTTTAACTTTATAATGCTAAAACTTTTTGAATGATGTATGGATCAATATAATTTTTTTTATATAGATGCATAATATCATTATCCTTCATTTGGTATATTTTTTTCATAAATTTAACCCTTAACCTGCCCACAAGGGGGGATTCAAAATGACAAATTTTTCACAAAAAATTGACTTTTTCAACTTAAATTTTGAAAGTGTTCCTTAAAGTCTGACACTTTTATATATATATTAAATTAAAGCTAATGTAATCTACTTTATTATGTAAAAAAAAAATTTCGGACTTTATTTTGTCTTCACGGTGAAAATGGCTACCAAATGCTATTATTGTGTGAAAATTATCGATTTTATTTTTTACATTTTTAACTTTATAATGCTATAACTTATTGAAAAGTGTATTGATCAATATAATTTTTTTATGGGAAATACTATTTTTTAATAATCCCTTTTTCATTTAACATACTTTATCTTAATCAGGATATTAATAAGGAACTAGCAGTTTATGAAGCTTTTGGAATAGTCCACCAATTTTTTAAAATTAAACACTATCTAAAGATTTGCATCGAAGCGTTTCTTATGATAGTGATTTTAATCACTGTCAGATATCATTATACTTGATCCAACTATGCCATGTCACCACTGTGCCGCGACCCCCCTGTGCTGGGTTTTTTATTCCCATCATGTAAAGTTAAAAATAAGGATTCCTATTTAAGAAAATTATTAGTAGGAATTTTTATCATTGAAGTGACAAAAAAAAGCATGATTACAGATTATTGTAGTTTTTTTGACCTGTTATTTTTTTTTCTTTACAAAACTTTTAAAATTCTCAACATTTTCTGAGAAAATAAGTGTCTTGCCAAATTTTCATTACTCTGTGTTAATAATCTCTCTTTATTTTCTATTAAATTTTAATAAGTTTCATCATTACTTTTGTTTTAAGTACTTAATTAATGGTTGTCTAAAAAATATAATTATAAATTTTTTGACATAAAAATGAATATCAATTTATGAAACAAAACTTATTTTTAAATCTAGTATTTTTTAATGTGAATAAATCAAATGAGTTTGTTAATTTGATGTATTCAATAACTTGTAAAATAAAAAATAAAAACACAAGTAATTTATATTAATTTTTCAAAAGAGAAAATAAACCTTTATTTTTATTATATTTTTCTTTTTTTGTTCATTGTGTTATATAAATTTCTATACAAATTTGTAATAAAAATAATTTATCAAAATAAGCCTATGTCTTTTACCTACACTGTCAGTATATTTCCTTTTCTGTGATAAAACCTTTTTTTTTTTTACAAATAGATTACATATTTGTACAATCTTCTATAAAATGGTTTATTACACTTAAACCTTTTTTTCTGTCATAGATGTGTTAGTCCATGGGGCTCTTCTGATTGTAGTAGTATAATAGTAGATTCAAGCACATGCTTAGGTTTTTGTTTCAATGGAGGTTCATGTTTTATTGAAGCAGATCAAGCAAATTGTATGTGCACTGTAGGATGGACTGGTCAACGATGTACTGATCGTTTTACTTGTTCAAACTATTGTCTAAATGGAGGCATATGTGTTGAACCTCAAGAATCTTCTGGAAATCTTTTGTGCAAGTAAATAGATTTTATTTAATTTATTATGGTTTAAGTTATTAATCATACATATTTAATAGTTGTCGCAAAAATTTTTCTGGAGAGAGATGTCAAAAACAATTATTTGTTGAACACACACTACCAGAATATAAAAATAAACAGAGCTTTAATGCCCTTTGGATAATATTCTTTATCATTATAATATTAATTTTAGTAACTTCGATTACATACTATTTCACAAAACTGAGACGACGGTAATTTTTATTAATAATTAAATATTCAATAAACTATTAATTCTTAAATATTATTTCAATAGACGTTCATTCTTGCATGTGCGTATGCAAGAAAATATTGAAGTGAACAATCCAATGTACATACAAGATGACATAGATGAAGAAGACTTACATTTAGATCGTGCTTTTCCTCTTCAAGAAAAAGTAAATGTACTTTTCTTTTATTTCTTTAATTTTAATTAATATTAAAAAAAAAAAATTATAGCCTAGTGGAAACTTTGGCAATCCAGTTTATGATTCAGTTTATAATGGATGCAGTAGTACATCTGTAATTGGAAATGAAGAAAGTAAAGGACTTCTTCAAAGTTCTGATTTAACCAAATCAAACATTTCTCATGAAACTAGCCATGATGAATCATAAATTTAAAATATATTTAGTGAGAAATCTCATAACGACTTAAGGATTAAAAAAATTTAATATCATAAAACATACATCAGTAATTCATTAAGCTTTATAAAATACTTGGCCGACTATTTAATGATCGTTTTGTTATTTATTGTTTGTTTTTTATTAAAATTGATTCTACAAGTTCCTATTTAAAAAAAAAAAGTTTGTTTTCATGATAATCCAACAACTTATATGCTATAATATTCAATTATATGTATTTTAAATACTATAATTTAAATAGACAAAAAAAACATTAAGAAGGTAATAACTGTTCTTTTTAAACTTATTTGTTAATAATGAAACTAGAAAGTCTGTATCACATTAACAAAACGACACTATCATATAAAAAAATCAATATTGGTTAATATAACTATAACTTAGACAATATTTTTACTTGTCACACATAAAATAATCTAATTTCAACTTATTTTAAACTATTAAAAACTTTTTTTTTTAATTATTAGTTTTAAAATTATCAGAAAAATTTTTATATGATAAAATAAACATATATATCTAAAAAAATAAATTAATAATGTTACCTACCAATCATCAATGAATGATATTATTTTATTTAAAATGCAAAAATAAATATTTATATTATGTAAAAAAAAAAAAACTGTGGACAGTTAATTTACTAAAATCTTATTTAAATTGTACTACATTTGAAATTTAAAAAATATTAGGCATATTAATTATGTGTAAAATTTATAATTGCTCATTTTTAATTAACATATGGCATTAAATAATTTAATTGAAAACAAGAAATTAATAAAACTTTATATAACTTAATTTTAAAAAAATGTTTATATTAATTAATTTTTTAATAATCTATGTAATAAGCTCTTAAATTAATAAAATGTTTTCTCTTTTGATGGAATTAAAAATTACTTTGATGGTTATGATATCTATTTAAATGTAAATTTATATACTCTCATCAGAAGCCAATTGGCCTCTATTGTAATTCTAACCTGAGTCACTATGATTAACGTATTTAGGTTTGTAAATTTTATTGGAGCATTATAAATATTTTTGGAATGAGCTAACCCACCACAATTATTGTGTCCTGAGATGTTGGCTTCTATGTCTACCCCTGACTCATATTATTTTTTCATTTGTTACTATTATATCATACTATGTTTTTTATCATTTTATGTGTAAACACGTTTTTTTTATATTTTTCTAAGATATTTTATAATAAATAATTTTGAAATTAATTAAATTTTAGTAAAAATATTTATTGTCAATAATACAATATCTAAATTGAATGATTAATTTCAAAATTAAAATTTTAAACCTTTTATTACTTCAAGTAGCAATGAACAAATTTATTCAAATTAATTTTAAATTTATAAAATGATTTTTAAATGACTACTTATTTTCTAATGTTTTATTTATATTATTAACCATAGGTCATTAGTCTAAGTATGTTATTACTTAAGTTGTTGAATCACATAAAATAATTCAAAACATTATATAATATCTAAGATACAAAACAAATTGCATTCTAATAATAAAATTAGTATTACTTTGTAAAAAAGATTGTAATAATTTTATAACTAGTCCTATATGTTTACTTCTTGTGATCATTGAATAAGATTTTTTTACTTATAAATTTTAGATTTTTTTTATATACCAATTTGTATATGTTTTAATAATTATTATCATTGAAAGCTAAGATAAAATGAAAAAAAAATTGAATTTTAACAAAAAAATGTGCCATATTACGTAGAAAACTTATTAGTTTTTGTATATATTTAATTATGTATATTTATCTTTATTTGAGTAATAAAGTTTTTATTTCTATTTTTTATTTATTTGCATTTTAAGTCTCATATATAGACTTCATCGCTAATTTGGTAGGTTCCAATGAAGGTTCTCATTTTAGTTCAGTGATTTTGGGTGGAGTTCTAATTATGCTAGGCACATTATGTGTTTTAAGGGAAAAAAATTATAATAATTATGCAGATACCTATACTACTCAATTAAATGACCTTATTGCAAAATTATCTTTTCTATCAGCGCAAATAACTGAACTTTAAGCTGAAAATAATTCTCTACATGAAGAAATTTCGGGTCTTAAGGATAAAGTTAAACATTTAGAACTCTCTCCTCAAATTGACCATGTTACTTTCGTGCCAAAAATCATTCAGGAACTATCCGATCGTGAACGCTGTTGCTTCAATCTTATTGCTCACGGTGTTCCTGAATCTACTTCCTCAGTTATATCAGCTCGAGTTATCGATGACATTAATCATTTGAAGTCTGCACTAGAGCCCTTCTCGGTCTTATTACCACCAGCTTTCAAATTGATCCGCTTGACTAAAGTTTCTACCAATTCTTCTCGACCACTAAAAATAATTTTTAGTTCTAAGGAGGTTGCATTAAGCGTCTTATCCTCCTATTCAAACGCTAAGAAATCTATCCCTAGAGTCACCTCATATTCAATATCGTTCGTGATAAAACTCCTTTTACCACGTAAAAATTGTATTCTTGATTTACCCGTGAATTAAATCAATAGTCTTTCCTTTGTCACTAATTCCTATATAGGCCAGTCAACGAAGGAGTAATTTTGGCAAATGGCAGAAAAAATTCACAACCAAATTTTTTTTTTTATTAAATTGAATTAAAATATGTATAATGACATACTAAAAGTCCTCATTGATTGGACTTGAGCTTTTTTTTTTTTACAGCCTCGCAAAAGTTAAAAAATATGAGCTTTTTTAATATTTCAAAAAATATTTAACTTACAAAAAAAAATTTCCTACAAAGGTTGTTTAAAAGACAATTTTAAACAAAAAAGGTATCTTATATTTTTTCATTTAAACAAATACTTTTCGAGTTACATTACGTTTAATTTGAGTACTAATATCTATTTTCCAATTTTTTTCATTTTACGGTTACTTTTTATCATGTTATACTTACATTAGACACAATGTTATAAATGCATATGCGAGTTTATTTATTTATAGTATCATTAAAGTGTAGTGTATATTAAGATACAACCGATAGAGTAGGTAATTGATTTGACGCTATATTATTTAAACCGAACTAAACGCTAAATTGTACATTCCCAAACAACAATTATGTCATTTGCCACCGGAATTTCTGCTAATCCTTTTCTTTTTCTTTGCCTTAATCCCAACTACTTGGGGTCGGCCATCCTCACCCTAAATTTCCACTTGACACGATCTTCCACATCCTCTACGCTCACATCAGCTGTCCTCATATCGCATTCAATAACATCCCTCAATCTCTTTTTTTGATCTTCCTCTACCTCTTCTTTCTTCAACATTCATTTCTATAACTGTTCTTACAGCTGCCGATTCTTCTCTCCTCATAACATGACTAAATCATCTAAGTCTATTTTCTCTCATCTTATCCATGATTGACGCTACACCTATACTCCCTCTTATATGCTCGTTCCTTATTCTATCTTTTCTAGTCATTCCACTCATCCAACTAAGCATTTTCATCTCTGCTACACTCATTCTCTGCTCTACTGTCTTACCAACCGCCCAACACTCTGAACCATACATCATAGCTAGCCTCACTGCAGTCCTGTAGAATTTACCTTTCAGACTCATTGGAATTCTTTTATCGCATAAGACACGCCAGACGTTTCTTTCCACTTCAACCACCCGCACTTAATTCTGTGTTTTACATCCTCTTCAATACCACCGCTCTTTTGCACAACTGATCCTAAATACTTAAAACTTTCTACCTCCCCATTCACACTCTCGCCTATTGTCACTGATCTCCTCATTTCACCTACCTCATGTTCTCTTTTGTCAACCCAGCCAGAATTTCTGGTCATGATAAAATTAATTGTCATAAAGTGTCTAAAATTGGTCTTGTTTAGTAAACTCAATGTGGTGGATAATAACTTTCATGATATAAATCTTAAAAGGTCAAATAAAATTATAACTGTATCTTCAATAACTTCTATTGTTTAAATTAATTAAGAAAAAATTAAAGTAACCCCATTGCTACTATTTCAACTAATCGCTATTTAAAAAAAACCAACAGTGTTCCGGCACAGTGTGTTTAATTGGGTGCAGTATAAATGATATGTGACATGATATGATAGCAGACATGTGGACCATGTGGATGTTAAAGTATTAGATGGCAAAGATTTTTTTGATTGGAAGTCAGAATGCTCTATTTATAAACTAAAAAAACAAATTAATCGTCCAATTTTGAATAGCATAGTACATATAAGAACGGAAAGAGGACTCAAATACTTATTATATTCTTGTACATATGATGAGTATACTCCATTAAGAATGCTAGACTTTTTAAAACCTTCATGTTTAAAAAAAGATTTTGTAAGACCACAGCAAAAAAATAAATTAACGGACAATCAACCAGAAAAAAAACAAAGTATTATACAAACACTAGTCCCGCTTATGCCTAAGAACAGACAGCAATTTTGGTTTAATTTTCCTACATTAGATTCAGTCAATGACTTGACAAAAATCTAAAAATTAGAAACTGCTATATGAAATTTTATAATGTGATATATTGTGATAAGAATCAATTATTGGTATAACATAATAAAGTATATTATATACTTTATTACGTTATCATAAATTTAAATTTTGTTTTGTTTCATTTTTAGTATTTTATACTAATTGTTATTTTATTATTTAAAATTTAATTTATTTTAATTGTTTTTAGTGATGCAGTTAAAAGGTATGCTGATTGTTTTATTTTGTTTTTTAAAAATTTAATAGGCTTTAAAGTAAAAGCCTAATTGTTTTGTATTAATTTTTTTATAATAAAAATAATTATTTGTTTGATAAAATTGAAGTTACACGTTTTTTTACATACGAATAATGTTGTATGATCATAGACTTAAATAAAAAAGTCTAAGCAATAATCTAGTAAGTCCACTTTTATGGAGTTATCAATTTTTTGCTTAGTACTCCGATATTAATTTTATGATAAGTCCATTTTCTCCTTAAAAAACTCAAAAAAGTTGTAATAAAACGTGTTCAACCAATTCTAGAAGTAAAATTAGATACATCAGCACAAGGTTTGACCAATTTTTTGTAAAAACACCATTTTTAGGCTTGATTTACTGTTAAAAATATTTTTTTGTGTTCCTGAAAAATCATGTTGGCTGGAGTTATCCTGTTTTCACTTAGCACGGCAGTATAACACCTCGTGGTTTTTAACCACAACTATGAAAATTGAAGTTATAAGTGGTTGATATGTTAAATATACTGTAGCCCGTGTCTAGATTAAAAAATAGTCCACCTTCGAATTTGTGACGTTACAAGTTTAAATTTATTTTATTATTTCAATAAAATGAAATGCATTACTTTGTATTTCTAGTTCTTAATGGATTGGAGAAATTATATTAGAGTTGTAAAAAAAATATGAAAACTCAGACGATATACTTATTGTCAAATAGTATTATTACGTAGAAGTAATAATATCGGGTGAATAGATAATGATATCTGTGTATAAAAAAAACATGAAATAAATCATTGGAAAAATGTGTTGAAACGGGTTATTGTTGTTATCAAAAAACTCAGTAGTCGCGGTATTTCATTTAGAATTTCCGTGGAAAAATTTGGTTTCCAAAATAATGGTAATTCTATGAAGTGTTTAAAACTGCTTGAAATTTAGGTCTTTTAGTCTTTACTTAATCAAAAAAGCGTGGGTGCTTTGTGCCATATTTTTCGTATATTGAGCGCCCGACGCTCTTATCACAATAATACTAGTATTTTTCGTTCATTATTGTTTTAAACTTATTTTAAAAATTATTTTTAAATTTTTAGTTCGATGTGCTTTAAAAGCGTGTTTTTTTGGTTTTTTTTAACTATATTTATTATTAATACTTTGGAAGCAGACTAGATAATGAAGATATACACTAGCAAATGATTATTTTAATAGCTCTTATATAATTCTTGAAGCTTATTAGCTATTTGTGTTCATTTATCAGGTGAAAGTAGTATTATATTTGTCCTAAATGCATATCTGTCAAATATATTATTATAAACAGTGCATCTTTTTTCTATTTCACTCTTTATGAGACTAAAAGACCTAAATTTCAAGCAGACAAGATAAGAGAGTATGCGACTAGAAGATATAGGTTAAAGGTAGAAACATATTTTTGAATATTGGATCGTATAAAGAGTGAAATTTCCCATTGATAGTGCCAATCATTACATCTTTTATTATACCAGTGGATTTCCAGGCATGTCCTGCCCATTCTAGCCGTTTGCCTCTTACAAAAGATTTACCGAACCCAACCGGCCGATTCACTTCCTTTATCATCTGGTTGTTTTCCAGATCTTTGGATATTTAGCTTTATATATCCTATTTTTAAAGCTGGTGATAGAAGTAAGGTAACTAATTATCGCCCCATATCTAAGCTTAATGTCTTACCAAAGTTATTTGAAAAATTATTACTACCTAAGCTTGCATATACATTTCAACCTATTTTAGTTAATAATCAACATGGCTTCCGTTCATCAAAATCAACTATAACAAATCTTCTTGTTTTTTACACTACTTTAATATCCGATATAAGTTCTGGAGGCCGCGTAGACGCTGTGTATACTGATCTCAAAAAAGATTTCGATAAAGTTGATCATTTAATTTTGTTAAAAAAGCTAAGACTTTTGGATGTAGGTAATCCAATGCTTGTGTGGTTTACTTCCTTTCTCAAAAATAGAAATCAACAAATCAAAATAGATAATTTTACTTCGAATATAATTAATGTTACTTCAGGTGTACCACAAGGTGGCNATTAATGTTACTTCAGGTGTACCACAAGGTACATTTGTCTCCTTTAATTTTTATCGTTTTTATTAATGATTTATGTCGAATTTTTCAACACTGCAACTTTCTGCTTTTTGCGGATGATCTTAAGTTATTTATGACCATTCAATCAATTGATGATTGTGGTAAATTACAATCAGATTTAAATAAATTCAGTTTATGGTGTAAAAAAAAATGGATTAGTAATCAATACAAATAAATGTCATCAGATAACATTTACTCGTTCTAAAAATGTAAATATTAATCAGTATACGATTGATGGTTGTAATTTGCTTAATGTTTATAGTAATAAAGATGTAGGAGTTATATTATCCAGCGATTTATCTTTTTCTAATCATATAGATTATATTTACAATAAAGTGTCACGAACACTTGGCTTTTTGAAAAGAAATTGTAATGAATTCAATAATATTTTGTGTATCAAAACCTTGTACATTTCTTCTGTAAGATCAATTTTAGAATATGCATCTATTATTTGGTGTCCATATAAAATAGGTGAAATTAATAGAATAAAATCTATACAAAGACGTTTTTTACATTTCATTTCTTTTAAGTCTAGGGATTATAATGTGTCGATCGATGAAATACGAATCTCTCTTGGTTTAACTTCCCTTGCTTACAGAAGAAAATGCAATGATGTTTTTTCGATTTATAATCTCCTTAATAATAATGTAGATTGTCCAGAAATTTTAAGTCTAATTCCTTTTAATGTTCCTAATTTTCATCTCCGATCTAATAATTTATTTTATGTTAACCCATATGGTCAGAATTATAGTTATTATTCACCGGTCAATAGAATGCTACATTTTTAAAATTTAATTAAAAATTTTGATTTCTTTAATGATCATTTAACCAAGTTAAATTCTATGTGTAGCGATGTATTTTAATTATTAATTTTGTATGTTAATAATTTAAACTTCTATGTATGCTGTACTTATTTAATTATTTGGATATTTTGTTTTTATATTCTGTACTCATTGCCGTCTGTGACGTACTCAATATTTATTTGTATTTTTTTCTGTTTGATTATGTTGTGTCTTGTATATTATAAAATAAATAAATATTGAAATAAATAAATAAATATTTGGCTTTAAGTATATTTGGTAGATTTCTCTATTGGTTCTTCTGTATTCCCTATTTTCTATGATAGGGCCATAAATACGTCTCAATACTTTCCTTTCGAAAGTCATAAGTTTTTCTTCATCCCACTTTGTGACCGACCACGTTTCGAATCCATAGGATAGAACTGGTCGCAGATAGCTTGAGTAAAGGGTGGATTTTGATTTTATAGATAATAACTTTGATTTAAATAGTTTTTCTAGAGCAAAATAACCTTTGTTAGTGGCAGCAATTCTTAGCTTTATCTCATTATGCATATTATTTGCCTTATTTATATTTGTTCCTAAATATTTAAAGTCAGTTACGGCCTGAAAAGTGTAATTGCCGACTATTAGGTCCTGTGTATTTCCAGCTTTTCTGCCTATGACCATATACTTGGTCTTATCTTGGTTTATTTCAAGTCCCATTGGTTTAGCCGCCGCGATGAGGTCAGCCGTTTTTGTAATAATTTCTTCGCGTGAACATCCAATCACCATGATATCATCCACATAAGCAAGTATCGTTTTGTTTCCAAGTAATTCCATTCCTTAATGAACTGGCAAAGATTTTATTACTTTCTCTATAGCAACGTTAAACAAGATTGATGACAAAGCATCACCTTGTATGAGTCCTGTACCTACTTCAAAACTTTCTGAAATTTTTTTCCCAAATTTAACTTTGCAACAGCTGTTAGAATTACATTCTTTCACCAGTTGAATTAATTTAGCCGGTACTCCAAATTCTTCTAGAGCCTTCCATAACTCTTTTCTTATAATACTGTCATATGCATGTTTGAAGTCTACGAAGCATATGTGTATTTCTTTCCCGAATTCGTAATATTTTTCCAATAACTGTCTGATTGTGAATATGTGATCTGTTGTCGATTTACCTTTTATGAAACCAGTCTGATAGCTTCCTATTATGTCGTTTATATATTTCTCTAATCTATGTAGTACAGCAATTGAAAACATTTTATAACACGTATTAAGGAGCGCTATCCCCTATAGTTTGTACAGTCCATTGGATCTCCTTTTTTGTAGATTGGGCATATCATCGAAGTTTTTCATTTTTGAGGGATATTTCCATTTTCTCAACTATTTTTAATAATTTTGTGTATTTTCGAAAATACTTCTGGGGTCGATGTTTTGATAAATTCTGCGTTTATATTATCTTCTCCCGGTGCCTTGCTATTCTTCAAAATTTTTATGTTATCTTTTATTTCTTCAAGGTTAGGTGCCAGTATTTCTGATTGTACCGTATAGTAGATTGGGTAGCTTTCATTCTTCTCAATAAAATTCTCTTTTGTTACGTTCAGAAGGGTGTAAAAAAGTGTCTTAAATCTATTCACAATATTTGTTTCATCAGTTAACAAGTGACCCTTATCGTCGTAGTTTGAGCTTTGAAACTGTTTTTAATTGATTTACAATTCCTAAAGATCTGTTGCCACTTTTTCTCAGCTCTCACTGGACCGATTTCTTTCAACATTACGTCAAAAGATCACAAAACGTATCTAGTTGAAGACATTATCCTTAAAAATTGAAAAATTTTCCCTCATTCCCCGCAAAGGGGGGAAATCTCCAAAAAAAATTACAAATTTAAAAATCGGTAAATTATGTCATTTTCTTCACTTTTTTTCTTAAAACTTCCATAACTTTTTCAAAAATCAACAAATCAACTTAATTTTTTTTTATACTAAAACCTTAGATATTTCCCTTTCATTTTATATCATTTTTTTGAAAATTTAACACTTAACCTGCTCACTGGGGGTATTTAAAATAGCAACTTTTTTAAAAAAATAACTTTTTTCAACTTAAACTAAAATGAAAAAAAAAATTTGTCCCGACACTTTATCTTCTTCATGCAAACGGCTGCCGTAGTTAAAATAATGGTATTTTTGTGTTAAAATTTTCGATTTTAAATTTTCAACTTATAAATGCTATAACTTTTCAAAAAATAAATGTATCAGCACAAATTTTTTTTTTATAAATACATTATAAGTACATTTTCTATTTGACATACTTTTTATTAAAATTGGACAATTTCCCCTTATATAGGGGGCATTCAAAACTTGAAACATACGTATAAAAAATAGAACTTTTTCAACTTAACTTTTGAAAATGTTCCGAAAATACTGCGTCCTTTAAACATATATCAAATTAAAGCTTATTTTATGTACTATAAAATGAAAAAAAAAATTTGTCCCGACGATCTATCTTCTATGCGCAAATGGCTACTATTATTCAAAAATAATACTATTAAATAAAATAAAGTATTTTTCGTTCATTATTGTTTTAAGCTTATTTTAAAAATTATTTTTAACTTTTTAGTTTTATGTGCTTAAAAGCGTGTTTTTTTAAACTATATTTATTTTTTACTTTTTAGTTTCATGTTATGATAGTAGTTGCTATCAATATCATGGTTGTAACGGGTAACGGGAAAACAGGGTTCCATTCCGGGGAGGGAGTCTGAGAAACGGCTACCACATCCAAGGAAAGCAGCAGGCGCGTAAATGACCCACTCCCGGAACGTGGAGGTAGTTAAGAAAAATGACGATACGGGAATCATTCCCCGTAATCGGAATGAATACACTTTATATCTCTTAATGAGAATAAAGCGTGTTAATATATAAATTTTAATAGTAATTAGAATATATATATATATACATGTAAAGCGACTTAAGTACGTAAACGTATCATGCACTAGGTATAGCCTTATTTTAACGTTTACCTAAGGTATAAACGGCGGCAGCGGCGGTAGGAATATATAAATAAATATATATATACGTAAGGCGCACTACATGCGGGTGGTATTGGTCAGTCAAAATAAAAATTTGTTTATATATATATAATTGATGTCACGCGGAGTGGGGTGAATGCGTTACGACGTCTAGTCTAGACGACGGGATACGCGAGAATAATAACACGTGCCGCGTGGAAAGTTACAAACACACATCACACATACAAGTAAAACTAATATAAGAGTGTTAATATGAATATCAGGGACATAAATAAACATTTCTTTAGGGAACATGACATTTTTCACAATAATTCTAACTTGTTAATGATTGATTTTATTGTTAAACATGATTAAAAAAAAAACTGTAGTGGAAAAAATATAGTGTAATACTCTCACATAATATATATATTTTATATTATTCAACTTGATAGTATGCAAATTAATTTACAAAATACTTACTAATTTTACTAACCTAATTCATTAGTTTGTATACTTATATCACTATTAAGAATATTAATTGGAGAATTTGAAATAATTTTTTTTTGTTGATCAATTATTACACTAATTTCTGAGTTTGTTTTTTGGACCACAGCTTGAAAATTTGATGTACAATTTTCTACTTCTAGCTTGAAATCGCTTAACCTTGGGTTATATGTAGTGACCATTTGAATTTCATTATTTAAACTCTGAAATGATGGTTCATTACTTGATTTAGTGTTACAATCGTTAACAAAATTTGTGACATTTGAATAGTTGGTGTTAAAAGAATTTATATTACATAATGATGTATTTTTTGAATAAGATATTGTTGGTTCTTGAATATCATTTTTTTCACATTGAGAAATATTTTTAATACTTTTTGAATCAATTGATTGGGTAGAGAGATCATCATTTACTTTGTCATCTATTTTATAAGATCTATTATCGCCTTGATTTAGATATAAATTATCTTTACACTTATTGATGTCATCTTCATCAGAATAATCAGAATTGCAATTTTCAAATTCTTTAACACCCCATTCCAAAAGATTTAATTGTTTTTGACAATAGTCAATATTACTATCTAGAATATCAAATTGATCATCATGTTTTACAAAATACATTTGCTCATCATTATCTTTTGTACCTTCACTTTTCTTTAAATTATTTTTTGTTACATTTAATATTTTAAATACTCCTTTTGAATCAAATAGGTTTTTATTTAAAATATCTGTGTTCGTTTCATGTTTAATCAATGATATAGGTTTATATATATTACAAAATTTATTTCCAGTTTCTGAGGTGTTCATATTATTTGACATATCCATAGACTCTAAATCAGTATTATTCATAACACCTAGTTTTTCAAATGAAGAATTATGAATTATTTCATTTGGTTTCTTCATACATTCAAATGACAATTTTTCTAAAAATAAATTATTATTTCGTACTTCTGTTTCATTAGTTATTCGTTTTACATCAAGATTATCACCAGGAATATTTTCTACATCAACTCCTGTGTCTATTAACTTTTTTTTAATAAACTGATCAATAATTACCTGATAATAATTACACTTAATAAGTAAACGATTTCGCCTTCCAAATATATCATTCCTATAATGCTGAATTAATTCTACAACTCCGCCTTTAACACCAACCTGTAATCATAAAAAATAATAAGAGAATATTTTTTTTTAGTGGAAATTTTCTTGTTTAGTCTATGTTTTCACATTCATGAATATTAATTGGATACATACACCATACATCAATATATTTAGACCATGAAATTATTTTCGATTTAATAAGTTAAAAAATTATTTTCATGATAATAACCAATTACAGGCATAATTGGTTATCTTAAATTAATCAAAAATAACCCGTAGATAAAATAACCTATCATCTATTAACACATTAAATATTATAAAGAGAATAATAATAATAATGATTATTGTAGTTTAATAATGTTGTAATTCATTAATAAAACTTTGAAACAATTTGTTAAATAATTTATGTAAAAGGTGATTGTGTCAGACATAGTTAATCATCCTGTATACTGTAAGTGCAAGTGGACTGCATGTTGAAAACATATATTTTGAAATAATGTTTTAACCTATCATAAGAGATAACAATTATATTATGAATTTTTATATTTCTTTGATTTAGCAAAAAAAGTAAAGAAAATGTTAAGAATTTTTTTTTATTCAAAAATTGTTATTACCATAAGGATTTATGTTAGCTAATTCAAAGTATTAAAATTCTATTGAATAGTAATATTTCAAAGTAAATAGTTATGATTAGTATATTAAAAATCACTTAATTTTTTACACTTATTCCATACATTAATTTATATTTGCCAAAAAAGTCACTATTTTGTATGCTACACTAATGTTTCTCAACCAGAGATCATGAACTAATCATTGAGGGTCACTGAAATATGATTTATATATGATAATGCCAATGATGTGTTGTTAAAAAATTGAAAATTAAATTATGGGTTCACCATATCAAAAAAATTAAGAAACATTGCTAGTTCTATGACCTTGCCTTTAAAGTGTAAAAAATATTAAGAAGGGCTACTCTAGATCATAGCATATAAGGCTTTAGAACCCATAAGTACACATTATATTATATTATTTTATTTTACACATTATATTATGTAGTAATGAATGATTATTTATTTAAGTAATGAAAGTTTTTAAATAATTTGATAGTTGTTACTCGATAAAGTCTGTCACTAATTTTTACATATATAAACTAAAGTTTTGTAATTATTTAAATAATTTAAACTTAATATTCTACAGTAGATTTGTCTATATATTTTAAAACAACCAAGATTGCAAAAAAAAAAAAAAAATAGAGGGTCAGAACCAGTTTTGAATAAGTATTTAGGATATTTATAAATACTAAGAGAGTCCATACATTAAGTTTGGGGATTAATATTACTGTATAAGATAAATAAAAAACCTACATAATCCATTAATCTATACCTAGATAATTTATAAATTGTAAAAAATTACAAATTTAATAAACGTGTTATAGAAGCATATTCAGTTAAAACATGGAGGTATTAAAATTATAACACCTAACATCTCCTTAGTTCTGACCACTTAGTCGTCAAAACTTTCAAAATAAAATAACATTATTAAAAACATTTAAAATAATACCTATAATATTACAATTTAATTTTATAACAAAATTAAAGTTTAATACTAAAGGAAAATGAAATTTTTGCATAATATAAAAATAACTTTTTGTTAATTTGATAAAGTTTAAAACAACTGAGGGTGATAATTTAAAACTTATAGGACCTCTGTGTACATAGGCATTCCTGTATATGCACCAATAAGATGTATAGATTGTTAACATAAAAGGACAAAATTATGTTAAAGAAAAATTGATATGTATATATTTATATTTACCTCACAAAGACTTCTTTCAATAGGATTGAAAAGATTAAATGTTGAGTTATTGATTTGAGAATCAAAATGTTTTTTCATTATGCCAGCCAATTTTTTTATATAATCAGTAGCAATATCGGCTATAACATACAAACTTTCTTCAGAAGATAAATCGAATCCTGCATGAGCTGTGAAGACAGCTGCTCTTTTAACCATTATTTTATTCCAATTTTCACGATCAATTTCATATTCCCACTCTGATATGCCTTCATTAAATGCTGATCGTTCTTTTTCAGTGAATACTTTTGTACTAAATTCTATTTGAGGAATGGGCGGTAATTGCATACATTCATCTAATACTCTAAGATCATCAGGTGTATTTGAAATTTGTTGTAGCAAAAAATCCATTTTTCTAAAATGTTGATCTAAGTCGATGTTGTACATTATATCAGGATCTACAATATCCGGCTCTTCTTGAAAATATAAATTTTCATCGATTATACATTTTTCTATGTTTTCTTGTGTTAATTCCTCTTTTGTTTGTTCAATTGATTTTTTATCAAACTCATGTTTTATTCCTAAAAAATCATCAGATTCTACACCATTTTTATAAAAACTATACTTTGATTTGCTATTAGATTCTAACATTGATTCTGTTTCCATTTTTTCAAGTTCATATAATTTGTTACCAATGCAATAAAATTCTGAATTTCCTTCAATCTTAACTTTAATTGAATTACACATATTTTCCTGTTCTTTAACTTCTGTAATTGGGTTTTCAGAATGTCCATCCAAATCATTTTTTACATGAGTTCTATTATTTTTTAAATTATTTTTATCTATTGAAGTAACTTCAAACTCTTTTTTAATATAAGATATTTCAGTATTATTCAAACAATTTATTTCTGATTCCTTTAAATTATGACAATCCATATCATATGAAATTGTATTGTTTCTATAATTAAAGTCTAACTCATTTACTTTATAATTGCTAAATTTTTTTTTAGTTTTTGAATCTTCATTAATATGGGAGCTTAGATGGATGTTTCTTAGACAATTTTTTGATGATAATTTTAAAGATTCATTTTTAGAAACAATATTTTCATTGCAATTCAATAATTCATCAAAATTAACTACTTTAGCGCTCATATCAATAACTTCATGAACATTTTGATAGTCATGATTTAAATTATTCATACTATCTTCAACTTCCCATGATTCATCTTGTATATCACATAACTGGAGAGTTAAGTTATCAATTGACATGATTTCAATAACTAATTTTTTTTCTAACTCTTCATTGAAAATTGGTTTTCAATTAAGTTCTCATGATAATTTTGTTCTTGGTTAAGAAAAAAATGTTCATTTGATTTGTTTTTAGAGTAAATTTGATGATACTTTTTTAATATTTTTCTCTGTATAATAGTTATTTATACTGTTGGTCATTTTCATAATATTTCATCAAAAAACTTACGTGGATAATGAACAATAATAGTCAAATAAATGAACTCGAAGTTTCAATCTAAAAAAATACAAAGTAACTTTTGAATTTTCATAAATTTATCACAGAATTTTTTCTGAAAACTCAGTTTAAAAATGTTTAACAAATTATTTCACCATTTAGTAGTAATTAATTAAAAATATTATTAACTTTTTATATTTAAATATTCTAATATTTATAAAAAAAAAAAATGAAAACAATTTTTCTGTGTCGGTATGTCTTAATCCCTCGAATTTTATCTATGTAGAATGATAATAGCATAGTGCATTATAATTGATATCTATGTGATAAGTTATGCACGATTTATTAGATTATATTCATATATATATTACATATTATATTTATAATATATTTAAATTAATATCTTTATAATAGTAGAGTAAAAATAAACTTTGTTTAGTGGTGTAATATTGTGATCAGAATATGGTAGTATTTACTTATATATTTCAAATAATTCACTTTACCCTGTTTTTTTTTGTTCTTTTTATTGTTGAATTAATGTTTCAAATTCTTTGTTAAAATATTGATCATACCTACCAATATATACAGAATTGAACAGATCTAACTGACAACTCGTATAACTTATGAGCTACATAAAATGTTATACTTTTTTTTTAATCAATTTTTACAATATAGAACTATATTTAAAATATGTTTTATGTTATTTTTCGCAATTACAAAAAATATTTTAAAAATTAATTTTTTTATTAAACATTTTTTTAACATTTATAAGATTTATAAGATAGCCATTTTATAGATAAATTTTAAGGAAAAATGTTGATACCAAAAACTCTTATTTTAATTCAGTAGTTACAGCATTTTGAAATTTGTTAGATTTTGATTTTTTATAAAATTTTCCTATGGTATCAAATGTTGGTCTATATTATGTAAAGTACAGAAGTGTACACTTATTACATTATTTACTGGTAACAGTACACAATTTCTTATAAAACATTTTTTTATATTTTAAAAATATGACCTTATTGAATAAATTATGTATAATAAATATAAGTATAATAAATTATACTTAAATAAAAACTTATAATTTATAGATTAAAATGAACTCGTAAAATATTAGGTAACTGTTTAAATGATATTTTTAAAATAAAATTATATAAACTATAACAACCAACCCTACTTTTCTCTATACACCATGGTTAACTATTTGATAGGAAACAGAGTACTTGACCAATGTATACAAAGTATTTATTATAAGATAGTGAAATATTCTAAAAAACATTAATCACTAATTTAGAGTACTAACTGAAGCCATTTATTTTTAAACTAATTCCTATTGCATAAAATTATTTAAAAATGAATTTGAAAAGTATTTTATAAATATTCCATGATTTGTTTATATTATGGCAATTTATGTTCCTTAGTACACAATTGAGTTTTAATATTATTATTTTTTCACAATTTAATAATAAATTTTAAACATTGAAGATGTTTAAATTAATAATTATTATAATTAAAATTATGTTGGTGCAACAGTAAATGCTGCGATAAATATATTTATTATAGTAATAAGAAAAACTCCTAATACTACATAATTGTTGAGCTGAGCAGCATTAATTTTGTTATATGTTATGCCATTATAATCCATACGTCCTTTGAAAATTAACATAACTCCAACCATTACCTAAAAGATAGAAATCTATAAAAATCTATGGCAATACTACTATCTAATTAAAAAATGAACTGTTTTGTGTATGATTATGATGTGAAACTAAAAGGATTTTTCATTTTTTAATAATTATTTGAAACATAGCTAAATGAAATAAAACTTTATTTCATTATTCAATAAAAAAAATTCATAGTTATAGTAATTTTAAAAGAATTTTTTTTTTGTATAATTTGAATATTTAGTTTTTCCCCGAATTTATGAATATTTTGATATATCTTAATTTTAATTTTAAATTTGAAGAGAATATTTCTCCAATTTATGGTTAATTTATTGCATAAATTAAGAAAACAATTTTTTAAGTATTTTTTTTCTTCAATTTTGGAGATTGAAATAAAAAAGGTCTCACAGTTCAGACAATAAAATATTAATTAATAATTGCCCTTTAAATACAATTTTTTATAAAATATTGCTTAATTTTCCAATACTGCTGTAATCTATACCAGTTTCGATAATCTTAAGGTACTAGCCATAGATATCACATTATAAAAACCAAAAGTTTCTATGTCAGATTTTTTTAAAAATAACGTATTTGATATTATTTTAAACTAACCTTTTATAATTTCCTGTAAAAACAAATTAACTTGTGTAATTAGTTACTCAAATTAATTAATGAGTAACGATGAACTTAAAAGGTTCTAATAAGGCATAAATTTAATATCAATTATCTATTAGAGAGAAATTTTATTTTCAAAAATGATTTTAAAACCTAAAGGTTTAATATTCTTACATGTTGTCAGTTGGGAAAATTATTAATTAATTAATTAAAATACTTGACTATTAGAACGATTGATTGTTTGAATTTTTAGTCAGCAATTTAGTATGACCTACTTTTATTGTATTATTGTCTTACATTTTTTGTTAAGATTTTTTGGTTTCCACGATTAAACTTTTTTTCAATATACAAAAAACTATGAAGTTATTGTAAAGGGGAAAACACCACACACTCCTACTGGACATTTTTTACTGAATAAACTCCTACTCCTTTTTGCGAATAAGCTATTATTTATTTGATTAAGTATAAAACTGTAGGATGTAGATATTTTGATTTACAAAGTTGGGAAAATATTCAATATTTATAAAAAAAACTACTAAAAAGTGTTATTTATTAAAAATAAATAATATTTAGAAACCTATTGACAGTTTTAATATTCCCATGTCAATTTCAGAGTTATAGTGACACTATTTTTGAAAACTGAAGTGATGTTTTGTTTATCATCGAGTTGGAATTTTTTGTAGTAGTAGTATTAATTTTATTAATAAATGCAAAAAAAAAATGTTCTTCTTGTTGCAATAATATATATATATAACAGGTTAATTGTTACAAACAATGAGAACAATAGAAACCCGTTTCTTTACTTACTGATTACCCTATCATATATAAAGCTCACATAGGAAAAATTTATAAATTTAATGCTGCACAACGTTTTATCTATAGAACCTGATTGTTCTATAAGCAAAATTTTGGACTATATATTTTTCAAAATTTAATTTTTGTTTTGTTGACTAATATTTTAATTATACATAAATTTTATGTTTTTTGATTATTCACCAAAAAAATTATTTATAGAACGGTAGATAAAAAAGATACAATCATATAAACTTCAAAAACGTTTATTGTAAAATAATAAAATGTTGACATAGAACATTTTGGCTTTGACGCCGTGATATAATAATTTAATGTACATAGGTTTTTCACTAAAAACATTTTCTACAATCGGAACTGTAGAAAAGGGATTAAATTAGTGGAAACCAGCATAGTTTGAAATCGGACAATGATAAAAATTTACTGTCATAAATCACTTCAATGCAAATATGCATAAGAAAAATAATACCCAATAAAAAATTATTAAAACATTAAAATGTGGTTACTTTACTATTTACTTGTAGTATGAGACTGCAAGCTATTAACAACAATAGTATAACAAAATTAGCTGATCTTTCATTACGAAACTCCAGTATGTAACGAAGTTGATTGGCATTAGCTGTAAGTAGTGCAATATCCATCAGTCCTTGGGCCATCGTTTTTTTTGTGTTATAAGTGGCATTGCTAATTTTACTTAAAGATCTCGGCAACAATGACATTGTTTTTACTTCTTCTTTATTCTCCTCAAGAGAAATTTCTAAGGTAGTATTAATGTTTTTTGACATAGTACACTTAAAATTTTCATTTAGTAAACAATTTTCTTTTTTAGTGTTATCGATACTTAATGAATTTTTTAAAAATAATATGGTTGTTATAATTCAAAGTTATGTGTACATAGATCAAAACAGGATGTTTGGTAAACCACAAAAGATAATTTCATATCAACAGAAATTTATAATAAGGTTAAGACCATTATTTACCATAAGTGACATTGGACATAGGTCAATAAAAAAATGGCATTTTTATCCAAGTGTATATTTATGCTTTATATTATTCATTATGATTATAAGTGAAAAAGTAAATTTAAGGTTATCGGTATTCATCCAGTGAAAATATCGAGGTTATATTGAATAACTATATTTCCTGGATCAAGAATCTAAAGATTTTTTGATGACCTTTTTTATTTGAAACCTAAAAAAGAGAAAAACTACCAAAAAAAAATTAGTTATGAGCCCCACTCGCACTTCAATATGTGCTCATAAAATATACAAAACATGTTTAAACAGTAGGACACTGAAGTAATTAGAGTCACGAGGTGTCACAAGAAAAAGTAATTTATGAGATTTCTAAAAATCTAAACCCTCTTAATATGTCCGTACTATAAATATATCTTTGAAAAATTACTTAAAATTATTTAATTGCATTAAAATTGGCATATTTTACCTAAAACAATAAAATGAAAATAATAATTTTTATTCAGTATACAAGTTCTTACAGTAAATCTGTAGATGGATACAGTATCCATCTACATAAAGTAAATTTAAAATCTTTAATTTAATATAAGTTTAAGATACGTCATACTCATATTATCAAAATTGAAAATAAAATAATTGTTATGTAAAAGTTGCGTATTTTTTTATTTGGATATCCAATTTACATTGTAGAATAATGTTTGTAACATTGTCTTTAATATTATTGTTTTCTGAAAATCTTAATTTGATGTATATCTAAAGTTGTCAGACGTTTCGGAATATTTAAAAAGTGGTATGAAAAAAAAATGTTTGAATATTGTATAGAGAGTAAGACATAACCCTCTTTTGTTTGGATAAAAGCAAATTTTTAATCAACTTTTAAAACTAAAAGTTAGAGTAATATAAACTTAAAAAACAGTAGCACAGTGTAGACATGGCATATTTTAGACAAGTATATTTGACAACTGATACTGATTAAAACTATCCTAAAAAACGTATCAATGCTAATCTGTAAACAGTGTTTAATTGGTGAATTATTCCAGAAGCAAAATTAACTCCTACTTGTTGTTCTATTTCGACTACCATTTGCACATACAAGATAAGTCGTCAGTAAATTTTTTTTTTTTTAACTTATAGTACATAATGTAAGTTTTAATTTAACATATGTTTAAAGAACGCAATATTTCCGGAACATTTTTAAAAGTTGAATTGAAAAATTTCTACTTTTTATACGTATGTTTCAAGTTTTGAACGCCCCCTGTTTAAGGGGAAAAAAAACAACCCAGCACAGGGGGGTCGGGGCAAAGTGGTGACGTGGCNAAAAAAACCCAGCACAGGGGGGTCGCGGCACAGTTGTGACGTGGTATAGTTGGATCAAGTATAATGATATCTGACAGTGATTAAAATCACTATCAAAAATAAACGCTTCGATGCAAATCTTTAGATAGTGTTTAATTTTAAAAAAATTGGTGTTTTATTCCAAAAGCTACTTGATCTTATTAATATCTCGATTAAGATAAAGTATGTCGAATGAAAAATGGGTTTATTAAAAAATATTATTTCTCATAAAAAAATTGTGTGGATGTTGGGTTGGGTTGGTTACATTTTTAACTTTATAATGCTATAACTCATTGAAAAGTGTATGAATCAACACAATTTTTTTATGAGAAATAATATTTTTTAATAATCCCTTTTTCATTCGACATACTTTCTCTGAATCAGGGTATTAATAAGGAACTAGCAAATCATGCAGCTTTTGTAATTATCCACCAATTTCTTAGAATTAAACACTATCTACCGATTTGCATCGAAGCGTTTCTTATGATAGTGATTTTAATCACTGTCAGATTAAATCTATACTGGACCCAACTATGCAACGTCCCCACTGTGCCGCGACTTCACTGTGTTGGGTTTTTTTTAAATTAAAGTATATTACATTAGCTTTAATTTAAGGTATATATAAAAGTGTCAGTCNTTACATTAGCTTTAATTTAAGGTATATATAAAAGTGTAAGTGTTTCCAGAACATTTTCAAAAAATGACTTAAAAAAGTTAATTTTTTGTAAAAAAGTTACCATTTTGAAACTCTTCCCGTTGGCTGAAAAAGGGTCAAATGTTCACAAAAATAAATCAAAAGATAGGTAAATACCTAAAGTATCTACAAAAAAAAAAAATTATATTGATTCGGTCATGTTTAAAAAAGTTATGGCAATTTTTGGTAAAAAAAAACCCAGCACAATGGGGTCGCGGTATAGTGGGGACGTTGCATAGTTGGATCCAGGATAGATTTAATCTGACAGTGATTAAAATCACTATCATAAGAAACGCTTCAATGCAAATCTGTAGATAGTGTTTAATTCTAAGAAATTGATGGATAATTACAAAAGCAACATCAACTTCTATTTCCTTTATTATACCCAGCTTAGTAATTCTTTTAATTATATTATATTATATAATTTTTAAAATAAATTGTTTTCAAATTATTATTGATTTTGATTTTTAATATGTTAAAAGTAATTATTTTGAACCAATTTTTTTTTGACCTTTAAAGTGAAAGTTTTAATAAAAAAAAAATGTATTTATTACCATAACTTTTAGCTCAACTTTTGAAGTTTGTACTTGACATTATTAAATAGAAAAACCCAGCACAGTGGGGTCACGGCATAGTGAGGTCACGACACAGTGGGGAAGTAGCATAGTTGGGTCCAGTATAGATGTAATCTGACAGTGATTAAAATCACTATCATAAGAATCGCTTCAATGCAAATATGTAGATAGTGTTTAATTCTAAGAAATTGATGGATAATTACAAAAGTTACTTTAACCTTAATATTAAAATAGCATACGGTAACCATTTTCGCATAGAAGATCGGTCGACGGAACAAATTTTTTTTTTTTTAATTTTATAGTACATAAAATAAGCTTTAATTTGATATATGTTTTAAATATCAAATATCCAGATGTTAATATGACGATCGGTAGTTATCGTGCATTTCCTCGCTTTTGACACCGAGACAAGGCTGCTCGGCGACTGTGAATTGCCGATGATACGTTCTGTTTCTTTTCAACAATCGATCGAATTTGACACACTTCTGAAGTGAAATATTTTGCTACAGTTTCACTGATCAGCGTTCTGTTTTTTGTACACTACACTTAAAAAAGAGCTGCATTGTTTCCTTTTACCTATCCGTTCCTATGAACTTTGTGCGACTTGGCGCTTATACTATTTAAAATATTCATTTTAAATTTTAATTAGAAAGAGAAAAAAAAAGTTAATTAGAGATTAAATAACAAAGCCACCTTAGGAAAGATATGATGGAAATAATCTTAACGGATGAATGAGAATATTAGCTACTATCATAAGAAACGCTTCGATGCAAATCAGTAGATAGTGTTTAATTCTAAGAAATTGGTGGATAATTACAAAAGCTACATTATCTGCTAGTTTCTTATTAATACCCTGATTAAGATAAAGTATGTCGAATGAAAAAGGGATTATTAAAAAAAATTATTTCTCATAAAAAAATTGTGTTGATTCGTACACTTTTCAATGAGTTATAGCATTATAAAGTTAAAAATGTAACCAACCCAACCCAACATCAACTCCTATTTCCTTAATTATATCCAGATTAGTAATTATTTTAATTATATATTATATAATTTTTATAATTAATTATTTTCAAATTATTATTGATTTTTAATATGTTAAAAGTAATCATTTTGAACCTACTTCTTTTTGTTCTTTAAAGTGAAAGTTTTAATAAAAAAAAAATGAATTTATTACCATAACTTTTAACTCAACTTGCAAGTTTGAAATAAATATTATTAAATAGAAAAAAATGAAATTGGTAGATTATTTCAAAAACAACAATAACACTTATTCCCTTAATTTTACCCCGATTTATAACTATAATATATGAATACATAATAATTACAGTAATTAAATTGAGTATGAAAGTGGTATTCAATAATATAATATTGTAATTTTTACGGAGATATTATAAAAATAAAAAGGAGTTGTATATTCATATACTTTTAATGCGTATACAAATTTAAAGGAATTTATGCAATACTTTTTAATAAAAAAATTTTGTTACTTATGAATAAATACACTAAACAAAAGGAACTTTCATCAGAAAAAAAATATACTTTTCTAAATAAACTTTTCGTGATGTTTTCAAATGTGCAATTAAACTTTTTCTATTACTTCTAAGTTTTAATATTATTACTTATTATTAAAAAATAAGTATTTACATATAAAAAAAAATAATTAAGAACAAAAAAAATTGTATTAAATTAATACTGATTTTGATTTTTAATATGTTAAAGGTAATCATTTTGAACCTATTTTTTATTGTCTTTTAAAGTGAAAGTTTTAATGAAAAATACCTTCTCAGCTTCGCATCGAAGCTAAAAAATGAATTTGTTACCATAACTTATAGTTCAACTTGCAAGTTTGAAATTGACATTATTAAATTGAAAAAAATGAAATTTTTAAGATTAATATGCAATCTGGAAATTTTATAATTACTAATTACAGTACATTTGTCAGAAAAATTCGATTTTTTTACATTTTTATCGTAATAGATAACTGAAATAGAAAGAATAGTAATCATATCCTAATAACTTTTGGTGTTTAAAAAAATTCTGCAATTGAAATATTCAGAACTTAATTAATTTTAATAATTTACTTTAATTAAATGAACCAATCAAACCAAAGTAGTTAAAAAGATTTACTCAATTGAGCATATTATCAAAAATATAATTATAATTGTAAAACTCCATCGTTAACTTCAGGTGAAACTAAAAATCATTTTTTTTTTAAATTTATGATTTATATAGCAAAATATTACTAAAAAATTTGGCATATTATAGACTGGTAGTAGCACACAGAAATAGAGTTAAAAAATTAATAAATTATAAAGTAAAATTATTTACTTTTGTAGTTGAATACTTTTATCATATCAAATTTAATTCGACAATAAATAATTTAAGAATATTAAAAATTAATGATTTTAATTGTTTGTATGGACAAATCTAGTTAAGCTACTTTTTATTTGAATAAGGAATATTTTTTTGATTTTTAAGAGT